TACCAAAATGAAAAGTTTTAAGTGAGTTAAATCAAATGTATTTTGCCTTCTTGTGTGTATCATTTGTTTATCTATTTATTTATTTATTGAAAGGATCTCTCTGGCTAGCCTGGAATTCTCTCTACCTCTGTTGTGTGTTGTGGTTGTGTCCCCTGTCCCCATTAAAGGTGTATACTTCTGTATGGTTTTAATTTGTTTTGTTTTTTTGAGACAAGGTCTCAAGCCTTGACCTTGAGCTCTCTATGTAGATCTGGCTGTCCTCAAACTCACGGAGGTCAACCTTCGTCTATTTTCTGGATACTGGGATCTGAGGCCTGTGCAACTAAGTCTGGTGTGGATGTTTTGTTTTTTATTTTTTGTTTTGTTTTTTATAACCCTAGTTTTAAAAATGATATCAATGAAAAGAGGAATGATGAAAATCATGTATTATATTGTTTTTATTTGTATCATTGAGTATTCAAGAGAGAAAAGCTCCCCCCCCAGTCTAGGTATGGTGGCATAGGCCTTTATCCCAGCACTATGGAGGCAGAGGTGGGCAGATTTCCAAGTTCAAGGCCAACCTGGTCTACATAGCAAGTTCCAGGATACCAGGGCTACACAGAGAAACCCTGTCTCAAAAAACAGAGAGAGACAGACAGACAGACCAGGGTGGAGTATGTGTGTGTAGATTATTTTAATTGAAGTTGGATACCAGCAAAAGTGAATATACATGTCACATCTCCCCACCTTGGAAGCGCATCTCAGTAAGAAGTGCGTTCCGACAGAACAGACATCTCTTTATGTAGTTAGCTCTCACCTTTCTTGTGCGCACACCAAAACCATCAAAGAATTCCTATTTTGTGCATCCTTTTGTAAACTACAAAAGCTTTGAACAGTTTGGAAGTAGTAAAAAGGATTTTTTTTCCCTGCCAAATAAACTTTGGAAAGAAACCCTTGCCGCCGTGCACAGATGGGACTGCCGCCACGCCTGGTAAGGTATCTAGCTGAGCTGTTTTATGAGAAAGGCACTCATCATCATTGTATATAATTTATTTACATAACATATATATGTAATTTTTCCCACACATGTCACTACCAACAGAGATTTTTTTTTTTTTTACAAGCCTGTAAAAGACGTTTTGTCAACAACCTTAAATGTCATCAACAAAGCAGGTTCCTGAGTCAGGTAAACACATTTAAACCGTTTTTGAGAGATACTAGAGAAACACAAATTGCTTTTGTGCCACGTAGAAGTTTGCAGCAGGCCATCATGAAAATATGTCCTGAAGCACTTTTCCAAGCCAAAGGCAGAAATATTTACTTTAACTGAAATAAAAAAGGAGATAAAAAAAAAAAAAGAAAGAAAATTCACTGCACAGACATTGTTAGAAAAGAAATTTTATTGATGTGTTGGCTTGTCTGAAAGAGTCTTTTAACCACGAAAATGAGTCTAACCTTTCAATTCAATGTTATGAAGTTACAAATGCTACTGAAAAATGTTAAAACATTCTCTGCCAAGTGGTCGATGAGGAAGGCCCTGGAGGACACACCTTTTTAATGTACAATTCTGGCATTTTCTCTGCAAAGAAAATTCTAGGAATATCTGGAATACTTTAGAAGTCTTTCAAAGCTGTTTCCACCTCTATGGCTTCTAAGCTGAATCATAGTTGCACAATCCATTTCTTTCTTTCTTAAAATGGTTCAAAGTTCTTGAAGATATTGACTTAACTGATGATGAGTTCTTAATCTTCAGAGAAAAGAAATACAAGTGGCCTGGAGAACTATGGTGCTTCTTCAGAGAGGATTATTCTTGCTTTGATTTAAAAAATGAAAAACGCTGCAAGTTCTAATTCTACCTGAACAATGTTATTTTTGAGTTTACCAATGAAAATGTCCCCATTTGTGACCACTGAAACAGATTAAAATTCAGTGTCAGGGTTAGAGAGATAGCCAGGAGTTGAGGGCATTGGCTGCTCTTGCTGAACAGCAACCATGTCGGGTCGCTCACAAATGCCTGTAGCCAGCTCTGGTGGGGTGACGTCCCCTTCCAGCCTTCATGAGCACCTGTTCCCACATGTGCACGTACCAGATGGAAACACGCTCATTCAAATAAAGAGAAAGTGTTTTTAAATTGAATACACTGCTGGGCAGTGGTGGCACACTCCTTTAATCCTCTCCCTCAGGAAGCAGCGGCAGGTGGATCTCTGTGAGTTTGAGGCCTGCCTGGTCTACAGAGTGAGTTTCAGAACAGCCAGAGCTATATAATGAGACCTTATTTCAAAAAAGGGGGAAAAAATCACCTTGTCTCTACCTCCCAAATATTGGGACTAGAGCGGTGTGCCACCACACCCGGCCGTTGTGTTTTCCAACAATTAATTTCTCAATCCACTTGTTTTTGTATCTTCTGTTTCTTTGCTGGCAGTGACTTTCTACTCACTTTAAGGTTCTTCAGGGGTCAGTGAGATAGCTCAGAGGGTAATGGCCAAGTCTAATAAGCTAAGAATCTTTTGAGAGCCACTGCGTGGGAGGAGAGATCCATTGCCTTCTAGTTTTCCTAGACAACGGTCTTGCTAATTACTCTTGTGAAGTCAGGAAAGGTTTCCAGAGAGGACAGTGCTAAAGCCAGTGTCTCGAGCAAGAAGGAAGATACACTTGGTAGATACAGGTAGGTAGTATAACAAATTATATATTTTATTATGCTGAGGGTCACCACACAAGGTCCACACTTTAAATTTCTAACTACCATCCGAAGCTTATCTCCCTGAGGCTGCCCACCTGTGCAACACATCTCAGCTGAAGGTCAGGGTCAGGCTCTAACAGAAATTGGATTCGAGGATCAGGGTTCTGGGGGAGACTCACCAGCACAGGGCAGGTCAAGACAGTTTCTCCCCACTGCAGAGCAGAGCATTGCTCTTGGTCTCTGCTTATGTGCTGTGCAGTGGGCATCATGGGGTTCTAGGACTATGTCTGGTTACCTTGAGTGAGTGACATTACTAGGTCCTGATTGTCAGGTGCAGCCTTTGGTGTCCTGGGGATCCTGACAAGTTTTACATGACTAAAAGGCATTTTTTACTGTGATCGTTACACCAGACATGATGGTAATGAGGGGTAAGTGAACCTTCACATCACTGACAGGAAGAATGGTCCATTGAGAGAGAGCAGGGAGAGGAACCCTTAGAGACACACTGTACTCCAGAGAGACAGGACCAGGAGGAGGGGAGGTGAGGACACTAGAAGAACAAGACTGGGTTCTTACAGGACATTAGTGTTAGCCTAATAGCAGTGGAAGGTCACTGGCAGGTTTTAATCACTGATGATAACACAAAGATATAGAACAAAACAAAAAACTCCACAGCGCTTTAGTTGTGAGGAGAACGAATTAGAATCATCTTGATTGGAGACGGCATCATAATTTGGAAATTACTTCGAAAGCCTTAGAGGAGAGGGAGGAAGGGAGGAAAGGGAGATCTGTGTGTGGGTGAGAGGTGTGTGTGTGTGTGTGATAGGGCAGGAGGTGTTTACCAGACACAAGTAGAAGGTGAACTTGAACTCAAGTGTACTGCTGGCTTCAGGGAAATGAACAGGGAAACTAGTCAGCTCTCTGGTTGACTAATCCAGTGCCAGTCACTGGGGAAAAGGCCTGGAGAGATGGCTCGGGTTAAGAGCACTCACTGCTTTTCCATCTTCACTGGGTTCAGTTCCAGCACCCACAACTATGTGTCATTACAGTTCCAGGGGATCTGGTTCACACAGGCACCATACAGACATGGTGCGCATACGTTCATGCATGCAGGACACTCATACACGTAAAAATAAAATCTTTCTAAAAAGCAGCTTTATGGGAGAACATATGCTGACATTTGAGTTCTTGGGCCTTCAGAGACAGACACAGCTGAGAATGCCCAACAGAGTTATATTAGTGTGAAGATGGGAAAGGGGATTTGAAATGGCAGTCCATCTCTGTCCATATGGCCAAATGCCACAGATGGCATTCCTTCTTTTTGTCTGAGGCATTAGGAATAGAACCTAGGACCTGGTGTGTACCAGTCAGTCTTGACGGTGAACTATGCCCAGTCCACTGTCCTTGTTAAGTGTGTCTTGTGTAATGTGACAGTGGTCTGTGATCTCAGCCAGCTTACAGTGTCTCTGCCTTTGTTCTTCAATCTATATAATGAAGATGAGACTGTAGTGAGCTACTCAGCCACAGCTATGCCACCAACTCAAAGCATTCCCAAGAATACCTTTTCTTTCTGCTTTTTTTGGTTTCCAAGACAGGGTCTCACTATGTAGCTCGCTCTGGCTGGCCTGAGACTAACTCTGAAGACCAGGCCGGCCTCAAACTCAGAGATCCACCTGCCTCTGCTTCCTGAGTGTTGGGATTAAAGGCGTGCCGCAACACCACCTGGCCCCTAAGAATACGTTCGTTGCTAAAACTATCTTCGTTAAAAACTGGTTTCTCGTCACTTGGACCAGCCATAAATTCCTATGGTAAACTGGTCTCTGGACCAGCCATAAATTCCTAGACAATGTGACTCAGACCTAAAGGTTAACTGCCAGACCAGTTCATTACTCTCTCTCTGCTTGCCGTTGCTGATGCCCAGAGCCTCCTTTCCCTATACGTCACAACTGCGATAAAGTCTCAAACTGGAGGTTTGAGATTGTTCCCAGCAGTCCTGCTTGGGACAGCCCATGTGATGGTAGTAAATAGTAAAGACTTCTTAAGATTTACTCAGACATCGTGGGAGTTTTTCTCTTAAGGTTCCCCATAACAGGACGAAGTTAGCTGAGGTGAAGTATAGACTTCTCTGCCCTAGAGCAGGAGAAGAGAGTGGGTTACTTTCCCCCACCCCCTTCTTATCCCCCTGGCCGCCTCTCCCGCGCAGGCGCCTTGGGCTCTGAGGGCTTTCAAGACCTGGGTATTTCCCAGGCGCCAAGCTTGAACCCGGCGGGGGCGGGGCTGACGGGCTCGTGACGCAATCAAGCGGCGCCGCCCTGCGGGCGGGATCCGAGCGCGACCGCGCAGCTGGCCTGCCTTGCGAGGAAACGAAAGTGAGGGAGGAAGAGGTTGCGGGGCCGGGCTCCGCGGCGACCGTGGAGGCCTGACCCCTCGTCTCCGCTCGCCGGCAGCTCGCCCCATCCCCTCAGCGTGAGTGCCGGCGCGCGGCCCGGGGGCGGTGCGAGCGGGCGGGCGCGCGGGCACAGCATCCTTCCCCCGGGGCGGCCAGCCTGCCCGCCCTCTGGTAGCTTCTCCCCGCTCCCGCTGCCCCCTCTCCCCAGCAACCCCGCGGAGCCGGGGCTGCCGCTGTTGCCGGCCTCTGCGCACACAGGCTCACCTGACGTTTCCAAACGAGGAGCTCGGCCGGGGACGTGGCGTTCCCTTCTCTCCCCTATGCGTAAGGGTGCCAGTGCGAACCCCAGGCCCGGGCGCGGAGGCTGCAGAGGGCATGGGAACCGAGCAGCGGGTAGAAGCGGGGCTTCCGTTCCCTGCGCTCAGAAGTGCCTGGTCAGGGCGCGTCTGCCATTGCAGGTCACTGCCTAGCTCTGTGGCCTTTCCCCTTGCCGACAAAATGAGAGAACTGGATTCCCTGCAAGGCCCCGATGGAAGGCGCTGTGGTGGAGGGGCCATTCGTATCTGCCGCCTTGCCTTCCACAAAGCGGTTTCCTTTTCTCGCATCTGCCCCTTTCGCAGTCCACAGAGTTCCCCGTGCTCTCCCTTCCCCTCCCCTTAGGGCCCCCAGGACCGCTTGAGAGTTGAGGGAGCCCCATTTTACGTGCTGTGGCCAGTCGAAGGCTCAGTGATGAGTTTTTCAACAGTTCACCTGTGGGCTTTTTCGGGCGCTGTATGATGTCAAGGGAATGTGGCTCCATGAGGCCTTGCTTTCAGTTTGCTCAGCCTCCTTGGTCTTCCTGCTTTCCTCTGATAGGCGCTGCCTGTGCCACTTAGGAAATTGCCCCCCCCCCCCCGAGAATGGGATGCCTGTACATTGAGTCCAGCGGTTCATCCTTGGGCTGGAAATACGGACACGTGATTCAGGATTTTGCTAGTTTTCAGAGGGAAGGATCATAAATCCCATTCAAATTCCATTCCTTTTTTGCTTCGGCTGCTGATGCTCGTTCTTTTTTGCTCCCCTCCCCCACCAAATGTTTTTAAATAAGTAGAACTGGCTCAAGTTTTCATATCACAATACTGAGTAGTCAATTCACAGTGAAAGCATGACCTTAAGATCACCGTGTGTGTGACTTACACACATAGAAGTACATTCTTGCACCCCCATCCCATTCCCTAAGCTGTCAGTGCACCTCTAACTTAAGTCTCCTTTCTGAGTTCTCTGTACGAATGCACTACTTTTCCTGAAGATCTCGTAATTGCTTCGTTGCTTCATTTTTTAAAAAAATATTTTCACTATTTTAAATTTTGTGTACATGCACGTGGGTGCCTGCATAGGCCAGAGGTGCCTGTTTCCCTCGAGCTGGAGTTACAGATAGTTTTGAGTTGTCCAGTGTGGGTGCTGGGAATTGAATTCAAGACCTGTAAATGGCTCCAGCTCCATATCCTTTTTATTTTTATTTTTTCCCCTTCTCATATACTTGCTCATGGCCATCATGGGAACCTGCAAGCTTCCTGTTCTTTTCTTTTTCCCCTTGCAGAGTTAAGCTGGAACCCAGGACCTTGCACATAAAAAAAAAAATAATGATAAATAAATAAAAGGGAAAAATATTAATGTCTTTGTATCTCAGAACTATGGCTATCTGTTTCCCAGGGTCTTTTTTCACTCTTGCTTGTAAACCAGCTGGTACTTCCATGCCTACACTAGTTTTTTTCCTATTTCAAAACACAAAATAAACCAAATCCCAGCATTTTTGTTGTATGTTATATACAATTTAATTGTTCCGGCAAAAATGATGAAAGAAAAAATCATTCTGTGGTGGTCCTTGGAAATACTGGTGGCTTTTACTTAGTAGGTCTCATAATTTGTTCCAGTATACACTGTCATGAATCGCCAGTATTGTCTCAAAAGTATAGAATAACAAGTACTAAAAGGCCCTTTTTCTCCTGTGTCTTAATGAGTTAATCTAACTTTGCTATCTGACACCAGTGGCCCCTGAGACTACCTTGTTTCCTAGTAAAACTAATCATTGGTACTGAACAGCAGAGCTTGGCTAGCCTTTTTCCTGGACCTTAATTGGAGGGAGAGACTGTCCAAGTGCTCACACAAGATGCTTGGAGTGGTCAAATCTCATTCAGCTGGTGGTTGTTGTTTTTGGGATACCTGCTTCGCTCCCAGCAGTTCTAACCTCAGAGCTGACTGGCAGGATTTATGGTTGCAGTAACAATGAAGAGGAGAACTGACCCAGAATGCACTGCCCCCCTCAAGAAACAGAAGCGAATTGGGGAGCTTGCCCGGCACTTCAGCTCCACATCTGATGATGAGCCTCTCTCCTCTGTCAATCATGCAGCAAAAGGTATACTGGCTTATGTGATCTGAGGCCACTGGCCATCTGGTTGTTTGAATCCTTACTACTTGGATTGAGCAGAATATGGTTCATTGTCCCTTCGGCAAAGTTAGCAAATTTGACAGAAAGATGGTAGCTATATAGAGTCTTCATTCTGCCACTATTCTGCTAAGAGTATGGAGCCAGGTGGCGGTGGTAGCTCAGGCCTTTAATGCCAGCACTCAGTAGGCAGAGGCAGGTGGATCTCTGAGTTCAAGGCCAGCCTGGTCTACAGAGCGAGGTCCAGGAGGTACCTTTGATCTGTTCTGGTTCCCCAGTAGGTGATGCTCGCTGCCTAAAGTCAGGTAGAAGATGTGTCAAGCATTGAGTGCTGTATTTTTAATAGCTGTCAATAATTAGGGGGTTCCTTTTTAGAGGTGGGGTGGAGGTGCCTGATCTGACTAGGGTCCTTGAATTATAGTTTTCTCAGTTCCTGAGCAGTTGTAGTCAGAAATACTCAGCTGTGGAGCATCACTCTGTTTGCAGTTTATATCCAGCTCAAATATTTGGTTGAAAAATATTGTGCTTTGCCTGTCTTAACATTGTGGACATTCACAATATCTGAATTCACTCCATATGCCAGGCAATTAGAAGTACTGTGTTCAAGCTGGGCGGGCACTCAGGGAGGCAGAGGCAGTGGATCTCTCTGAGTTTGAGGCCAGCTTGGTCTACAAATCGAGTCTAGTACAGCCAAGGCTATACAGAGAAACCCTATCTCGAAAACAAACAAACAAAAAAAAAGTACTGTGTTTATACTAACTCAGACAAGCCAGCTTTATTCATTTATTTTCTCCCCTCCACCTTTTTTTTTTGTTGTTGTTGTTTGTTTGTTTTTTGTTTTTTGAGACAATGTTTCTCTGTGTAGTCCTGGCTGTCTGGAGCTTTGTAGACCAGGCTGGCTTGAACTCACAAGAGATTGGCTTGCTTCTGCCTCCCAAGTACAGGGAATAAAGGCGTGGTGCCACCATGCCTAGCATGTTTTTTGTTTGTTTGTTTGTTTGTTTTGAAATGGGTCTCACTGTGTAACTCTGACTACCCTGGAACTCACTCTATAGACAAGACTGGCCTCGAACTCACAGAGATCCATCTTCCTTGGCCTCCTGAGTGCTGGGATTACACATTTACGCCACTGTACTGGCTTCCATTCGTTTCTGCAGCTGGTCTTGTATGCTGTTCTGCTCACCGTAGAACCCTACTCTCTCGCCCTTCTGGAGACTAGCACGCTCAACCAGGTTGTCATCAGGACTGCATGGTCCCTATGAAGGCTCTTGGGAAGGTCCCCCTACCCCTAACTTCCGTAATGTCTAGGGGCTCACTGAGAATCCTTGGTACCGTATGGCTCTGGTGGCAGTCTGTCTCTAGTTTCTGCCTCTGCCTTCCTGAGTCTGTATAGGGAGGATATCAGTCATTGTTTTAGGATTTATGCCGCTTTAGTATTACCTTATTTTAACTTGATCATATCTGCAAAGACCGTATTTCCAAATAAAATTTCTCTCTGGTTTATAGGTGATAGGAATTTTGGAGGAGGCGATTATATTCCAGCCCAGTACACTAGCAGGCTGCATTTTGCATGCACTGTGAATGAAACTTTGTAACAGATTGGTGACAAGGATGTGATGTTTTCTTCCTGGTGTTGTTAAGGAAGGATTTGCTTCAGGGAAGCTGGCCAGAGGGTTCTACAGGTGTGGTCTGGGTTAGACAGACCCTCGTGACCTTGCCTGTAGAGGAATGGGTATCAAAGGCTCGCTGATGTTGAGCACTCACAAGTGCATGGCTCGTGGCCGTATGGGAGGCTGACGGCAGAGGGATCGTGTGTGCTGATGAACTTGAGAGCAATCTCAGCAATGTAGTGGGACCTGTCAAAAAAAAATTATAAAAGGCCTGAGTGGATATCAGTGTCGAAGAGAAAGTCTGTGTGTAACCACGGTTACTAAATGGAAAGAAAAGAAAAGGAAACTGCTGGTGTGTAGGTCCCCTTAGGTTTGGAGGGCCTATGAGGGGCATAGGCCTGTGTGGGAGTATGTGTTTAGTGCTAAGCAGGTCTTTGGACCTTTCCTGTCAGGTAATGTCTTTGAAAAAAATGAGAGGGCAGCTCCCAGGTAGGGGTGGTGAATACATAAAGTTGAGCCTCCTTTAAGGGAACTATTCTGAGTCACATTTTAAGCTTTTTGTTTGTTTTGTTTTTTTCCAAGACTGTTTTTCTGTGTAGATCTGGCTGTCTGTATAGCCCTGGCTGTCCTGGAACTCACTTTGTAGACGAAGCTGGCCTCAAATTCACAGTACTGGGATTACGGGTGTGCACCAACACATCCAGCTGACACCAGCCTGCATAAAATGCCTTAATTTTACAGAACAGCTTTCGCCTTCTCTGGAAGTAGCTTCATGACTCAGTTTGGATTGACTGTTGCTGTCGTGTGTATACAGTGGAGAATTGAGGCTGGCCAGTTTCGTTCAGTTGCGGAAAACTAGGCAGGAGGTGGAGGCGGAGGTGGAGACAAACCAACAGAAGCTCCATATTTTCAAGTTACTTTACTGCAGGAAGCAGGCAGCCTCACAGTGACACAAAACAGACAGGAGTCAGCCTGCCCCTGCAGTGGTTCCTGCTCCCTCTTCCATGGCTGGCAACGGAGCAGAGGCATAGTCCATAATTCCTGGACCAGACTTGAGAAAAGGTCGTAGTGTCGTCGACCTAAGGATCTAATTCTAATTCTTCGTAAGAATCTAAAATGCCTGATGTCCTCCTCCACCTCGCCAACCGTGTTCTGCGTGCGCTCCTCTTAGGCATGTCCTGCAGTGTGCTCTGACAGGTTTGTCTGTCGGAACCTCTGTCTCCTGAGTTGCATCTGCAGCTTTCCTCTTCAGGCTGTTGGCTTATGTAGCAGGTGTTTCCATTTGCTCCAGCCACCTCTACCTGCACGTGCTGTTGAGCTGGGTGACTGAGAAATGCACTTTGCGCCTATCAGAAAGTAGAAAAGTAGCAGTGACTTCCAGTCTGGGCCTTGTGTGGTGTGATGATTCATTAATTATTAAATCAGTTTGTTTGTTTTACATTATTCACAGGGTAGATAAATTGTCAGCTCAGCAGCTTGACATTTAGCCAGGGAGAAGAAGAAAAGGACATTATCGTGGACACCTTGGCATTGTGATCTTCCAGGTGTTCTGAGTGGCGTTGGAAAGCATTTTCAGGTGTAAATATACTCTTGGGAACTTATAGCCAAATAACCTTTCTGTAGTAAAAAGAGGTAGATGAGGGCATATTGTTCTTTTTAGTTGTTTCTTTAAGGAAAACTGGTCTAAAGCCTAAGGAAATTTCCTTCTCTCTTCCTTGCGGTAGCGTGGGCTCATGATCCTCTTGTAGCAGGTTGGTTTGGAAGTTGCAAAGCTCTTCAGCAGCACCTCATTAAGAGCACCTTTCCCTCCACCAGGTTTAATCCTCCCCTAAATAGACTTTCGCCCTGAGACACCATCACTTTCCTGTCAATCCAGATTCATGACTTTAATCAAAAACTTCCTTCCATATCTGTTTCAGTTGCTCTAATGAGTTACTGTTTGTTTGGCATGAAGGAGAAATGGCATTTTAAGCAAGGATGAGTATTTCCCCAGCAGTTGTTAGGTAGGATGTGATGGTTATGAAAATTTATAATTTATTCTGTATCTGTGTGCTGCTCATCTTGGCCAGGATTGGTTGGAGCTGCCTCTCCTTGTGTTACCACTTTAATTTTTAAATGCTTGTCCCACTGCTCTATTGTCATGTGGACAGTTTTGCCAGTAGCTGGGAACCCTGTTCTTTTATAAGGTCAGTCTTCTTTAGAACCTCCTAAGTGAAGATCTTAACTGATGCTTTCTGCTGCGTCTTAGAAGGCCTCCTCCTCGGGAGGTAAACAGGGATGTCACCCGGCTTTGGTGAATTCTCAGTGAAATTTAGGTTTCATTAGACTGGCCTTGTTAGTCCTGGTAATGTCTGTTGTCATCACTAAATTCTCTGCTCAGTGTTTATAAACTCTTACAGGTCTTAGGAGGCAAAACCTTCCCTTCAGTTCTACTGCAGCCATGATAGTTTTCCATTTTATATGAAGGGAGTGGCCCAAAGGCCCAGGGGATAAAAATAAAGAGTGGCTGCTACAGTCTTTGGACATTAGGGCGCAGTCTATAAAACGTTATCTTAAGTCGTGTCAGACTAAGAATTGCCTTTATGTGCATGAATAAAAGAGAGAAATAAGGCTTGTTAGTTTTTCATGAGTGTCTGTGTAGTAGTTAGGCCTTGGGGGAGGGACGGAGTGGGAAGATGTTTGTGCCAGAGTCTTAGGCTGGAGCTCTGTGCCTAGTCCAGCACTGATTTGACTGGTAAGTTTTCCCCCAAATTTTACTTTTCCTGTCTTTTTTTTTGGCCCAAAGATGTTATGGAAGAAAAAGAAATCAATCATGACTTTCTCTCAGAGAGCTAAGGGTGGCAGGCGCCCTGTGTGTTTGCCAGTGGGGTGTGTGCCACACCACTCTCGCTGTTGGATTATCAAGGATATCTAACAGCCAGCAACTCCCCTGAGCTGGAGTGAACACAATCTCCTTTCAGAAGGACCTAGGATCTTACACAGGCTTCTAGTGTTTTCAGGGTAGGTCTGTGCATGTCCACAAGGCTAGTAAAAGGAGTAAGAACTGTTACAAAGTCGCAGCTTCTAACTTGCCCTGAATCACTATAGACTTGTGGGCACATTCCCCATCCAGCCCTTTCAGTGCTGAGCAGTGAGGGTTACAGGAATGGAGGCAACTCAGAAGAGAATCTGCACGGTGGAGCACCATCCTCAGCATGTGGGCTTTGTGCTGCACAGCTCTCTGTCATCCATGTAGTGCTGATAGAGTACAGCCTTGGGAGCATCTAGAACCACTTAGGAGGCCCTGCACTCTCAGCTGCTGCCTGATGTTTTCTTTGGAAAGGAACCAGTCTCTTTTCAAAGCTTGGAATGGTAATTATTTATAGCTGTGTGGGGTCCCCCCCCCCAATTTTCTGCAGGACAGTACAAAACAGAAAATAAATATCACCTCACTTCTCAGTTTCCATGGTTACTTGTTGCTAATGTTCTGGTTCTTTCCTCCTGAGGAGCACTCTCTGCCACTGTGACTTGTATAACATTGATGGATGTAAGAAGATACTTCCTTATTTAAAAAATTGGACAGCCATCCTGTTAGGAAAGGGCAGATTTCATGGCTGTTAAAGTAAAACTTCTTCTTGCTATGTGATTGGTATAGAAAACACAATTTTGAGTATATTTTGAATTTTTTTGTCCATGTATTTACTGGCCTTCTGCAGTTTGTTACATTCTTTAAAACAAAACAAAACAAAAAAAAATGCACATGTATCTTATCTGTTAAATTTTGAAGTTCAGCAGTTATTTCTTCCCAGGAAGTGTCCTATTTGACTTAGTATGGACTTCTCAAAGTGCAGGTTCTGAACCAAAAGAGTTGTCTGATTTAGACAAGCAATGTTTTGTTTTAAAACATGCACTAAGGAGCTAATCCAGGACCTTCTGTGTTGTGTGTCTGTGTGGTAGGCGATGCTCTACCACTGGATTATATCAACAGCCCCAGTTGTCTTCTGACAGAGTAAACAGTATCAGCATTCTGAGCTCTAATGTCTCTTGTTCCCTCTATGCATTTTGTTTGTTTTGTTTTTTGTTTCCACACAAGGTTTCTCTGTAGCCTTGGCTGTCTGGAACTTGCTTTGTAGACCAGGCTGGCCTTTAATATACAGAGATCCGCTGCCTCTGCCTCCTGAGTGCTGGGATTAAAGGAGTGGGCCACCACCTCCCTGCACTTCTTTTGCTCTTGCTCTTTGTTCTTCAGTGCTTGCTCTGCTCAGATTCCTGCCCTGACTCCCTTCTTGAAGGACAGTAAGTGCTAAGGTGAAATAAACCTTTCTTCCTCAAGTTGTTTTTGGTCATAGTGTTTCTCACAGCAGTAGAAAAGCACGCTAGAATAGAACTTGGTACCAGTCCACAGGGTATTGCTGTAACTGACCTGACCATGTTGTTTTGGGGGAGGATTGTAGGAGTTTGGAACTCAGGCTGGAGAAGCTGTTGAGTGTTCAGAGCTTAATGAGCTGTCGTGGGAGCTTGGAAGGTAAGGCTGAGAGTAGTGCAGGTGATGGAGGCCTGGCTTAAGTTTGAGAGGTTCTTAAAGACTGGGGGGACTTGGTTGTGGTTATATGTGACTGAAAAATCAGCTGCGGTTAAGAAGGGTCAGCACCATGAAAGTGGAGCTACTTTGATTGGGACAATTAATGCTGATTAGCTAGAGCCGAGAATCAGCTGGAATTAACGAGACCAGGGTCTCAGAGGTGAATCTTCTGGGAGTTATTCCCTCAGGGTCAGCACTGTGCTCAGGAGGTGGCCAAGGCTACAGTTCATTCTGGCTTTGAAAATGTGTGAGGTTCTCCCATGTGGTCCTGTTTGTGAAGGAGTCATAGTGAGCAGCAGAGGCTTGGCACTTTTGAGAGGCCAGCAGAGGCCATTGGAGACACCAGTACAGTTGGATGCCCACCAAGGACAGCAACAGCTGTGGCGTGGAATGGAGCTGTCCTGGGATTCTGAGACAAGCTGCCTGCCCTGTGAATGGCAGAGCTGGAGAAACAGCTGCCTAGGCCCTTCTGGAGCCCAGAGGGTAATGAGTGGGTCCCAGGCATCAAACTGAACTTTTTAAAATTTTATTTTTTTAAAAGATCTATTTATTTATTATGTATACAATGTGTTTGCATGTACACCTGCACGCCAGAAAAGGGCACCAAGTTTCATTTTAGATGGTTGTGAGCCACCATGTGGTTGCTGGGAATTGAACTCAGGACCTCAGGAAGAGCAGCCAGTGCTCTTAACCTCCATCTCTCCAGCCCCTGTTTTATTTTTTTGAGACAGGGTTTCTCTGTGTAGCCCTGGCTTTGTTGGAACTCATTTTGTAGACCAGGCTGGCCTTAAACTCACAGAGATCTGCCTGCCTCTGCCTCCTGAGTACTGGGATCAAAAGTGAGGGCCACAACAGCTGGATTTTTTTACATTGTTGAATTGAATTTTGGTTTTACTTTGATTTGCTTTTGACTGTGCCCTGGTTCTTCCCTCTTGGAATAGAAAGTATGTAACTTATTTTGATTTTACAGGAGCCTACAGTTAAGAGACTTGGATATTTTAAGGGACTGAACTTTTAAAGTGTTAGAATTCTTTTTAAGACTGTGAAACTTTTAAAGTTATATTGTGTTTTATATTGTGATATTAATATTAAAATGAAACTTTTGGTTTTTTTGAGACAGGGTTCTTCTGTGTAGCCTTGGTTGTCCTGGAGCTTGCTCTGTAGACCAGGTTGGCCTCAAACTTGTAGAGATCAGCCTGCCTCTGCTTCCCAAGTGCTGGGATTAAAGGTCTCTGCCCAGCCTTTAACATGACATTTTAGGGACAAGTGGTCAGTTGTGCTGGCCAGGTTTTTGTCAGTTTGACACAAGGTAGAGTCATGTGGGAAGAAAGAACCTCAATGAAGAAAACCCCTCCATTACATTGTCCTGCGGGTCGTTTTCTTGATTAATGGTTAATATAGGAGAATCCAGCCCAGGGTAGGGGGTGCCATTCCTAGGCAGGTAGTCTGGGGTTCTGTAAGAAAGCAGACTGAGCAAGCCATGGAGGGCAAGCCAGCGCAGCACCCTGCCGTGATCTGCTTCTGACTCCAGGTTCCTCCCTGGGCACCTACTCTGATTTCCCCGAAGAACAGTAAGCTTTAAGGTGAAACCGCCCCTTTGCTCCCAGGTTGTTTTTGGTCATAATATCTATCACAGTAGAACTGAATAGAAACTGCTTTGAATGAAGCAGCCTTCAGGTAAAAGCACATGACAGAGTAAATGTGGGCACCCAAGTGAGTGCCCAGACTGAAGAGCATCTGACCTAGATGGAGGGGCAGGTACCCATCCTTTCTGGCTGCTGCTGACTTAAATCTTACTTGGAGCCCTTTGACAAGGTGATAGACAGTGGAGAGCAGGCTTGGCCTGCGCAGGCTCTAGTCCCTCCTGTAGCATTTACTCTCTTCTGTCTGCTCAGTTGGTGTTCCTGCTGGTGTTTCTATCTTCCTTTCCTCTTTTTTCTTCTGCCTTTCCATGTCTCTCCCTTTTCTCCTTTCTCTTTCCTCCTTTTCTCTTCCTGTAGCTAGCTAGCTTCAGTGAAGACCTGCTTCCTTGCCTCTGAGTTTGAAGGGACTGTGAATGCAAAGAGAACTAATTAGGAAGTTAAGCAATCAGAATTTAGAAGTTTGGGCTGGAAATATGTCACAGTAGGTAAAGGTGCTTGCTGCCAAGTCTGAAGACTTGAATTCCATCTCCAGAGCCTACTTCGCAGAAAGAACCAACTCCTATAAGTTATCTCTGACCTCCACACACAGTCACTCTCCAGTAACTTTTACGAACAAATAAATAAATAGATGGGATAAAAATGAAAAGATAATTTTGGGAAAAGAAGAAATAGATGTTAAAACTGAACAGTAGCAGGAAAAAAATTAACATCTACACTATACACATTATGTAGTGTGCTTCCTTACATATTATTTTGGTTTTTAAGCAGCCCTATGAGGCAGGTTTGTCATCTCAGGTTGATAACAGATAACACTGAGAAGGGGAGGTAAGAAAACTCACCTTTGAGTTCTTGCTGGAGTACATGCCATTAGGAATGTGGTGACAGCCAAGATCATACAGCTGGTAAAAGTAGAGAAGAGATTTCACCTTGGGCACTGGTGACCTCCACTCAGTGCGGGACATATGCTAGACATATGCTGACTAAGTGGGTGTAAGTGTATGCAGGCACTTTATGATGCAGCCTCACAGAAGCGTTTCTCTCTCTTTTCCAGCATCTGCCACAAGCCTTAGTGGATCTGACAGCGAGACTGAGGGGAAGCAGCCCTGCTCTGACGGGTTCAAAGATGCCTTCAAAGCAGATTCCCTTGTGGAGGGAACATCTTCTCGCTATTCCATGTATAACAGTGTTTCTCAGAAGCTTATGGTATGTCATGACTTAGAATGGATTTCTAAAGCTACCCCAGGAGAGTGAGAGAACGAGGACAAGAATGTATTAGTGTTGGGGGTAGGACACTAGTTGGCACAGGCTAGGTTTGGAGTAATTTTTCTCTTTCTGGTTGTTTCTCTTCCCTCCCCCTCCCCTCTCCCCTCCCACCAAGCCAGGGTTTTTCTGTGTATTCTGGCTGTCTTGGAATTCACTTTGTAGACCAGGCTGGCCTTGAACTCACAGAGCTCCACCTGCGTCTGCATCCTAAGTGCTGGGATTAAAGGCGTGTGCCACCACTGCCCGTATATGGCTGTTGAAATTTAGAAGAGAAAGTGCAGCCTCCTCTCAGTTGACATGTCTGTCATGTTGACATCATCCATGAAAATTGCCATTGTCTGCTGTCCTGCCCAGAACTGGATCTCACTATCCTCACTAGCTCATGCCCCTCATATGCTTGAGTGGATATGCTTCCCTAGACATGGGTATATGTCAGTAGTTGAAGGGGTTTTATGCTGCTTTGCTCTAGTGAATGCTCCCAAAAGAAAGGACTCAATGCCTGTTGATTCTGAGATGCTGAAAATAAATGCAAGCAGCATTGTCTCATGGCATATAAGGCTCAACTGTCAGCTTTCGTACCTGCTTGCAGGTAGAAAGATGAAAATGGAAACCCGCTCACTTTCCTCATTAAAATTTAGTGGTTTTATAAAGTTTAGAGAAATCCACGTTTGCCTTCTGTCCAGCTTCGCCAGTGCCATGGTTGGCTCCTATAATTTTGTTAGATTAGTTTAAGAATGAGATGTGCTCCCGCTAAAGCATAGGTCAGGATTCTAATTTGAAGTGTATAAGCTTTGGGTACGTGGAAGATAGAAAGCTTATGACTTAGCCTCTGACCCAGAAAAAGATCTTGTGTCTGTTATACAGAATCTACCCAGTTCATAAGCTGCAATGACAGCTTCCAAACAGGTTGCAGATACCCCCACCCCCAGAGGAATTAGATCTCTAGATGGAAGGTCTTTGATTTGCTAACAGTCTATGGGATTTGGAATTCAGATCCCTGATCTTGAAGGTTTTACCTTTGTCCAGTAACCTGAGGTCTAGAGTGCACATATAGACAGGACATTTAAAAAAGCATAGATGTGCCAGGCCCTTAACATGTCCTTCCTCTCTGTTTTCTATGGAGCAAACTTTCAAGTTTATCTCCTAACTGAATAGGTTAGCTTGTAAGTCCTGGTTGTCCTGGCCTGGTAATGAACGCCACATGCCTGGGCGAGGGCAGGGTAGAAGCTACTACTTGAAACTGCTGTATCCTAAATGAGGTTCTCTTTAATTTAGGTTTTCCTTTTCACTTAATCACACAAAGTAGCTACGAGGGGGGGTTGTGCAAATGTCCAGTGAGATTCATTAAGTATTTTTGGTGCTCTTAATTACAGCTCTGCAATCCCCTCTCATTTATCTGACTACCGGTTGCCCTAGACTTTCACCTGCAGAATAGACAGAGTTACTAGCCCGCAGTGAGTTATTTATGCTTCTCTTCATCATTAAGCCAAAAGGCAAACTTCAGACCCTACTTGTCTATATTTTTCAGGGTTTATCACAATGTATGGCCTGAGATAGGGACTAAATAAATGTCTGTTGACTGAATTAATTGTGCTTCGTTCTTTTTTCAGGCCAAGATGGGCTTCAAGGAAGGTGAAGGATTGGGTAAATACAGCCAGGGTCGGAAGGACATCGTGGAGGCCTCCAATCAGAAAGGTCGACGTGGTTTGGGTCTGACACTGCAGGGCTTTGATCAGGAGCTGAATGTGGATTGGCGAGATGAGCCAGAGGTAACTGGTGAGGTTGGAGGAAACAGGAAAGCTATTGGTATTGTTGAATGTCTGGTCTCTGAAACCGTATTTAAAAATTTGAACCCTTGAGAGGCAATTTGAGCAGGGTGGTTAGAGGGGTTCAAAATTAGCATCTTATATGGAAGATGTGCTGGCTAGATTCATGTCAACTTGACACAAGCTAGAGTCATTTTAGGAGAGAGAGCCTCAGCTGAGAAACTACCCTCACCAGATTAGCCCAGCCTATGGTGCATTATCTTGATAAATGATTGATGTGAAAGGGCACAGCTCACTGTGTGTGGGTGTCACCCCTGGGCTGGTGGTCCTGGGTACTATGAAATACAAGCTGTAACCCAGGTGCTGTTGGTGGCGCACGCCTTTAATCCTGGCACGTGGGAGGCAGAGGCAGGCAGATCTCTTGAGTTTAAGGCCAGCCGGGTCTACAGTGTGTTCCAGGACAGCCATAGCTACACAGAGGAAACCCTGTGTTTCTCTGTGTGGAAAAACAAACAAATAGAAAAAAAGCAGGCTGAGTAAGCAGCACTCGTCCATGGCCTCTGCATCAGCTTCCTCCAGGTTCCTGCCCTGCTTGAGTTCCTGTCCTGACTTCCTTCAGTGACAGATTGTGATGTGGAAGTGTAAGCCAGATAAACCCTTTTCTTCTCAAACTGCTTTTTGGTCATGGTGTTTCATCACAGCAGTATAAACTAACTGAGACGAACAAAAAGAACACTGGAGGTGTTCTGCCCAGTTCACGAACCCCAAAGACCAGGAATGACTAGACTCCCGCTGTAAATACATGAGGTTCTTTTTATTGTAAATTACAAGCTGCAGCTTGGGCCCACACCCCCCACCGAGCGCCCCATGCTCAGGTTAGTTGGGTGATTCTGGTCCTTCCCAGCATGCCCAAGGCAGGGGCGATTCCTGCCTGGCAAGCATCTATTGGTCAAAATGCTTCATTTTGAATTGATTGGCTATAGGAAGGTCCCCAAACCATTAATGACCTGGTATTCCTCCCTAGGGGGATGAGCCAGTTTCCTAGCAACTGTATCTCTAGTGGGTGGGGAAAGAATGCAGTAAGGCAGGTTCTTCCCCTCAGGGCATGGCTGGACTTCTCCACCCACCTAGTTCAGGCCTTAATAATAGCTGCTAATTTTTAATCTTTTTGGTCTCTCAGAGGCAGAATGCAGAGAGAGCAGTTTGAGTCTGTTTTCTAGGAATAACACTAGATAGAATAGATAGAAGGAAGACTCTGATAGGATATAGAATATGTATAGAGTATGATAGGAGAAGAACTTTAATATTCCTGGTGGACTGTTAAACTTCACAGGCTTAGGAATTCTCTCTCTGCTAGGAGGGTTCGGCAGGCAGAGGAGCACCCATGCCCCCTTGAACACAGGACGGAATACGAGCTCTGAAATTCTCCCATCTTCACATTTTGCCATCCAGGTTCTGAGCAGGTGTTTGCTTGTGTGCCGCACTCCTACTGTGATGCTGAACTGTTTTTTTTTTTTTTTCCTTGATTAAATTTGTTCTAAGACAAACTTCTTTGCAAGGTTGAGACTCAAACTCATACATACCAGGAAAGCAGTTGTCACTGAGAGGTATCTCCAGGAGGAAGACAGGCTTTTTTCATTTGCATGCATAGGTGGTGTTGAAGTTTTATTCATTTTTACGTATTCCTCAAAGGGTTTGAAATAGGGGTAATTAAAGCACCTGAAAACAATAACGATGTGAAATATCAGCATACAGAGCTGAGGTGAGGGGACCGGCACAGTCTGCATGTGGCTATAGGGAAGCAGGTGTGGCTCTGAGTGCTGGGAAACTGCTGGGGGGGGGGGGTTGCCTCTGTGATGTTTCAGGGGGAAAAAGACTGGTGAACGGTGTACGGAGAAGATATACTGAGATTTTCTCAGATTCTGATGAGCTCTGACCTAACAGCTTCACAGTGGGCTTGCTCTGCTGCCTCACAGCTGTGATGAGATGGTGTGGAACTGGGTAAAGATTTGTAACTGTGGCTACATGTGAAAGACTCCCGTTGAGCCTCTCTAGATGGGGAGACCCCGCTTCCCAAGGAACAGCGAAACCAGCCTTCGGATGCAAGCCGCAAGAGGTTTATTTCGATACACGGGTACCCGGGGCGACAAAGCCTTTCGGAAGACTTGCGCGCCTCTCGGTTGGGGTGACGGGTTTTTATAGGGCTTGGGAGCAAGAAGAGCGATTACAGAAGCGAGAAGCATAGTTACAGGGATCTGATTGGGCGGTTTGAACAAAGCCATTGTTAAGTCACGTACCCGGAACAGGGAAGGCGGGAAGGCAGTGGGTGGAGTCACGCACCCGGAACAGGGAAGGCGGGAAGGCAGATGTGGGTAGAGTCACGTACCCGGTTCTTATCCAGAGTGTTTCAGGCGCCCAACCGCAGCAGATATCCTGCTGTTGGGCATCTGTCCCGCCTTGCCTCTGACCCTGCACTGCTCCAGTCTTGTAAAATAGTGTTGACAGCATTATGCTAGGGCTTTATTCTTTCACATGTAGGCTGAGGCCTTAGAGAATACCGGGTGTTCTCCTCATCCTCATATGTTTGGAAACAAGTACATAGTGGTTCTGACCCTTTCAGTGGGACAGGACTTGAGTGCACTTTGTTTTTAACTCTTCTGTCTTAATGATGGTTGCCTTGTCCTTGAGACCCTGCACTGTGATACCATTTATGCTTTTCAGAGCATATGATACTACCTTTAATCTCACCGCTTCCTCTGTCAGTGGGGACTTGCTTGCTTGGGGAGCAGTCTGTTCAGCTGCCACTCAGGTTAGCCACTTGGATAGGCTTCGAATTCTCATTTCCTAGTCCAGTGGCACTCAGTCCTGGAATGACTGTATAGTTATTTGGAGACTTAAATAAATTCAGTGTCCACCTTAGACCAACTTCAAACATGTGCTCTGAAAGGCATCACTCTTGAAAAGCTCTGCAAGTGGTGTTAGTGTACAGCGCCGTAAGAGCCCTGCTAAGGTCTGTTCAGGAAAGTACTTGAAAAGCTAGGAGGAGGCAGACATTAGAGATGAACTCCTGCTTTCCACCATCAGTGCTGAGGAACAGCCTCTGGGTTATTTTGTGAACAGTGTTGAAAGGCATTAGGAGGTAAGCTAGGTGCTGATAAAGTCTTACTGTTTCGGAGAACTGTATTCATGTGAGACACTGCCTACTTACTTCTCTGTCCTCATTCTCTTGTTAAACTCCTTAAGCCAAAGACTTGTCTTACTTCATCCTGCAGTTGGGCCACTTCCACACAGTAACCACCAAACAGTACTGGGACAAATGAAAGGAACATTGAAGATTCAGGAGTTTTCTAAGGGAGTCCAAGCAGAGTTGGAGCTGTCCTTCAGAAGCTGAGCTTTCATTCTGGCTCTCGTTTCTCATGTCTGACCACCTACCTGCACTCCATACCACAGTTTAGAGCCTTCTCGGCCTGAGTCCCTCTGCATTCTTTTGGGGAAACCCTGGTGGGTTGGGTAGAATCCTGAAGGCCTATTTCATCTGACCTGTGCGTCCCTTTTTTGTTTGTAGCCCAGTGCCTGTGAGCAGGTGTCATGGTTTCCAGAATGTACCACTGAAATTCCTGACTCTCGGGAAATGAGTGACTGGATGGTTGTGGGACAGGTAGGATTTCATGAAAATGTACCCATTTCTGCCTTTTCTTTCCTCGAGTCTGGTATCTGCCTACTGCAGTTTAGAGAAATGTGGAAGCTCTGTCACAGGTGTGCCCAGGAGCTGTGGCATGAAACCTGAAAAGTAGAAAAGTCCCCTCTGCCCCCAGGAGATACCTTTGGAGTAGCTTGTTACCTGTCTGGTGTGTTCTCAGGCCACTGCTTGGCCCAGCTCAGATGAAAGGCCACCGTTCCTCTCCTCAGAGTGACAGGGCATTATCACACATTAATTAATCTTACTCTACAAAACTGGAAATGAGGAGTGATTACCACTCTGGTGGTCTCTGTAAGTAGGATCACTTCAGGAGCTCCCCAAAGTCAAAGCTGCCTTCATCACTCCAAGGTTTTGCTCTTTTCAGTCTGACTTTCTTCATATATCTAATGGGGTTTTCCAGAGGCCAGTGCCTGTACTAACAGCTGATTAAAATGCAGAACCAAGGCAGGGAACTGGGCTCCCTTCTTTTTTTTTTTTTCTTTTTTTTAACCAAGCCACAAATTGAAGAAATTTCCAGAAATAAACTTCGTTTTGAAAATAAGGTTATTTTATTTATTTATTTTCAATTATTTAATTTTTTTGGTTTTTTGAGCCAGGGTTTTCTTCATAGCCTTGGCTCTTCTGGACTTACTTTATAGACCAGGCTGGCCTCAAACTAGATCCACCTGTCTCTGCCTCCCAAGTGCTGGGATTACAGGCATGTGCCACCACTGCCCAGCGTGATACCTTTTAATAAAGTACTGGCTCATTCATATAAACAATAACTGGGGGGAGGTTATTGATTGTCTTTAGAGTGTTAGGGACTGAACTTGTGCGTACTAGACAAGCATTCTAAACTGAACCAGCACCCCCAGCTCCCACTTTGAGAAATAGAAGATTTTCAGCAGCCTAGTAAGATGCTTGGTAGGTAGAGACATTTGTATGCAGAGGAATTGCGTCTGATCCCTGGATCCAACATGTTTGGCTGCAGAGAACCAAGTCCTGAGATAATCCTCTGAACACTACATAAATGCCATGGCATGGACGTGCCCGCACATACACACGCATACCACACAAACCCTCGGGGAGAAAATGAAAAACTTCTGTGGCCACAAAGTTTTGGGTGATGTTTTTGAGGTAGTGACACTTGGACAGGCTGGGCTGGACCTGTCATCTCATGATGGCTAGTTGGGCCTTTGTTTTCTGTAAAGTCACCAAGTCAGTGCCCAGTGTCAGGCATTTCTGCTTCTCTCAGAGTGGGCAGCTTACTGGATGAAAGACAAGCTTGTCATGTGGAGGAGCCCTGTGCTTCTGCCTTTCTGCTCTAGGGGCAGATAGCTTATGTGTCTCTTTCCTGTGTGCTCTTTCCAGCCTCGGCATTTGGGCGTGCTGTGACCATATGGTACTCTACCCAGAGCTCCCAGCACGCTGCTTCATCTCACAGCCGTCTGGAGCACAGCCACGGGGATTTGGGATTGTCTCTTTCTGCCCCTTGGGGATTGCTGTTTCTTGGCAGGGACCTAACCCCCTTCTTGCTTAGAGCACTCAGAATCCTAATCTCCCCACTCTCCAGTAAATAGTCACACTTGGTCAGTATTTATGATTTTCTTCTCCCTGTAGAGAAAGATGATTATTGAAGATGAAACCGAGTTTTGTGGGGAAGAGCTGCTTCACAGTGTGCTCAAATGTAAGGTAAGGCTGGGCTGGCCAGGTGGGAAGCCTGTGGGTGAGGTGAGGGGGCTTTTCTAGTGTTTCTGTCCTTGTTTTTTGTTGGGTGTAGCAGTCACTTTTTTTTTTTTTTTTTCCTGGAGATGGGAATGGAAGTATACATGATGCCTATGTCCAAGGTAGTATTTTTCTGATAACTTTCCGGCCTTGGACTGTTGAGTTGTCCATGTGGTCAGCAGTCAACAAAGACCTCGCTTAACCTCAGTGTATCAGACCCTGGTCATACACAAGGGGCCTGGTGAAGTGAAAGTTTAATCACCTTTAGCATCAAGTCAGTATTTAAGCCTCATTTCTATAGTAGTTTTCCTGTGTGACTTTGGGCTAGTAGTTTGGATGTCTTTTGTCTTCTCTGTAAAACTGAAGAGAGTGCTTCCCTGGGTGGTTGTGAGCATTAAGTGAAATTGGAGTATGTAGCAACTCTTGGGTGTTGTCCTCCCCACACATCTTGTGGCCTGATTGGCAGGTCAGGAAGCACACATCTGGTATGCTCTGAGGAGGAGGTGGTTTGGAAAAGAATGAAGGTTGTTTCACAAAGCTCCTTTTTTGACAGACAGAGGGTTGGAAATACATCTATAACGTGACCATGTCTCAAGTGAAATGAGGATGTCTTGTTTCTAAAGAGCAGAGTTAGAGAGAAGGTGGGAGAGTGTGTGTGTCCCCATGTCTTCAGGAAGCTCTGGTCTTGATTTGTTTTTAAGTTTGTTTGTTTATTTTGGGTTTTCAATACAGGGTTTCTCTGTTTAGGCGTGGCTTTCCTGGAACCCCCTCTGTAGACCAGGCTGGCCTCAGAGTCACGCCTTCTGAGCCCTGGGCTTAAAGGCGTGTGCCATCGTTGCCCAGCTTGTTTTTAAATTTAGAGTTCCAGTCAGGGGAACCTAAATGCTGGTACTTAGATCCCCTGGAAGGTTTGGTGGCATGGGGAAACAATTGCTGTGAGGATTAACTGTGAGCAGAGTTGGCTTTCTGTGTGGCAGAGGTGCTTTTAACGACTTGATCACAAGCCAGGTGCCTGCTTCACTGGGATTTTTGTCACTTTATTGGAGAGGTAATTGAGGGTCAGAAGGATTCAGCAACTTGTCAGGGTTGCACAACTGGATATGTCAGCGTTGAGATGCAGCAGGAACCCAGTTCCTTGGAGGGCAATCAGTCTTAAGACCCTGGTCCTACCCCAGAGGGCCTGGGATGGCACTTGCTATAGAGTGTGCTCCTTTCATTGCAGAGCGTGTTTGACATCCTGGATGGGGAGGAAATGCGGCGAGCACGCACCAGAGCCAACCCCTACGAGATGATCCGGGGAGTCTTCTTCCTCAACAGGTCTGCTGGGCTCCCTTCCCTTCACTTTGTATAACCCCACCATTCATTTGAGCCTCAGTTTTCCATACTCCTGGGGCTGATCCATGCTTTTCTATCTTGCTTTGTTACAGGGCAGCAATGAAGATGGCTAACATGGATTTTGTGTTTGATCGTATGTTCACAAATCCCTTGGACTCTGATGGGGTGAGATTTTTGTGGTGCTGAGTGGATTTAAGCTTTGGTAGCTCAGGGATTGTCGTTTGTTCAAGGCGAGTGTATTCCTGCTATGCGGTAGCAATGCATTTTGCTCTGCATTCCCCACATAGTCCTTGAGTGCTTCCTGGTCTCAGGAGTGGCCCGGTGTGCCAGGCCCTAAAGATCTGTGATTTCACCAGGGTCATTTTCTTTTTCTGCTACTCTGAACAAGCTCTGTGTGGGATCGTAATTATGAGGCTTTGCCCTTTCTGTAGATGTGGTAGAGCAAAATGATTTTCTGCTCTGCTACATCTCATTTTTCTGAACATCGGCCGTCCATAATGATAGAGAATGCAAGAAGGGAAATTTCATTCTAGAATTCCCATTGGGTTCAAAGCATTTTTACCCACGCCTAGGAAGTTGGTTTCTTTTACAGTGACAGGGCCAGGACAGGGCCAGCTGTCCCCAAACTTGTTTCTGCTTCATGAACCCTCATTCTCCTAGACTCTACCCCCCTCATTAGCCACCAGCTAGAGGAACTTCTTTCCAAGTTCTTTGCTATTTCAGCTCCACCTGCCTAAGTACTTGTTCCACGCCTCGGTCTTTCCTCTCCCAGGCCTTCCTCCCCATGTTCAGGTCAGCAGGCAGGAGAAAAGGCTCTTGGAATTAGCATCTTGAGAAAATTGGGTTGATACACTGTTGCTTTAATTTTCTGAGCCACCAGTGAATCCCTTTAAAGCTCCTGCCTAGCAGAGGAGCTCTGTTAAGCTGATGAGAAGGCACAGCGTTGTCTGGGCTTTTGACTGTGCATGCCCTCAGCAGCCGGTATCTGGTTATTGTCTTTGCTGTTAGGAGAATGAAGTAGGCACCAGGATTGTACTGTTCAGGTCGAGGTGGATGTTTGTGACATAGGGAAATGCAGTGTGTTTGGACAGCTTCAGGCAGCTTCTGACCTGAACTGACTGTGTCCAGGGAAAATTGCCCGGTCAGAGGTGTGTCTTTGCACTCCATGATAAACGTCGTTTCTCTCTAGCTCCTCATGTGTTCTTCCTTCTCATCTTCATTTTCCCTGAGGACCTGAGGGACAGCCAAGCCTAGCAGGCCTGCTGTGTTTTCAGGGAGCAGTTGCCAACAGAGGTGGGAGTGGCCAGAGGCATAAGCATGCTTGGGTCTTAGGGATGTTTGGGTCAGACAAATTATTGCCTAATCATTGGAAAACTGGAAGCTTGGTGTGGTGTAGAGAAGGAGTGAGGAGGAATTCTGAGGTTTTATAATTGGTGTGTGGTGCTGCAGCTTATAGGAAAAGGAAAAAGGGTCTAAGGGAAGAAAAAGAAATGGTGAGCGAGAGCTGGAAGAAACAAGGGAAGGAGGGGTTTAGGTCTTGGGGTATCAGTGACCTCATATGAGGGATTCTGTGCTGAGGATTTTGTATGTCTAAGAGAAGCCTGTCTAATGTGATGGATACAGTGAACGTGGGGATTACGCTTCTGTCTCATTAGTGGGAGTGCGAGGCAGGGACGGTGCTCATTATGTGCAATACTGCACTTGGCAGACAGAGGAGAAAAGTATGGAGAAGGCTAGAGTTTTTACTTCAAGGAAGTTGTTCTAGTTGATTATAATGCCATCTTATATTTGTGGCTACTTTATAGTTTTAGAAAGACCATGGCCACAGGTTGCATTCTTTAATTCTATAGCAGCCTTGAGAAATACCTACCCTCATCCTAACTTATAGTTGAACAATTGAGCTTAATAGCTTCAAATATATACTTGACGCTGACTCCATAGTGAGGAAGTTTCAGAGCTAAGAACCACCTATTCCTTCTGTAAGCAGACTTTCTGGACAGGTCCCTTGTCTCATGACAAGGCCTTCTTGCTATGTTACCCAGACTATCCTTGAACTCACAATAATCCTCCTGCATCAGCCTCCAAGTGCTGGATGGTTTATGTACACAACCATCTAAATTTATTGCAAAATAAAGGTAATGGAAGGACAAAGAAGAGAAGGCGCCAATGAGGGAAGAGTGAGGCTGTGGTGTAGGAAGGCAGGTCCTTGAGGCTGGGAGGTGGGTAGTATTACAGCCCCAGATATGGGTGCTCAGGGAGCAGTCGTCTGATGTCAGGCCTCCTGGACTCTGACCAAGCCTTGTTCCAGCTGTGTGGACAGGTTGCTTTGCATCTTGGTGTTTCTTCCTCTGTGTGCAAGCTTCTCCCCAGGGTACAAGAAACACAGAGTCCTGAGACATGAGGACACCACTCAGCCATAGATGCGCTCATTAGGAATCTGAGTTGGCCTGTTTGTGGGAAAGGTGTTTGGGGTGAGGAAGCTCCAGAGGGCAGTGGTGGTGACTGAGGACAAACATCCTGGGTGTTGTGGGGGCTCTGGATTATACTTGCTGATAGGCATTTTTTTTCCCTCCCTTCCTTGAGTTCTCCTTTCTTTTCCTCACTGAGCCATATGTTTCCCCTATCTCCTTGTCTTCCACTTCTCTTTTCAGAAGCCACTGCTGAAGGACTCGGGGATTGACCTTCTGTACTTTGCTGATGTCTGCGCAGGCCCAGGTGGCTTCTCAGAGTACGTGCTATGGAGGAAGAAGTGGCATGCAAAAGGCTTTGGGATGACGCTGAAGGGCCCTAACGACTTCAAGTTGGAGGACTTCTACTCAGCCTCCAGTGAGCTCTTTGAGCCCTACTATGGTACGGACGTGGAACAGGGCAGGGAATGGGAACTGTGAGGGTAGCTTCTGTGTGGGGACTTGAAGGCTGTTGCTACCTGTGCCCTATTCTGTTAGCCAGGGTTCACAGTCTCTGGCATGAAGGTCTTGGATCCCTCTGAAGGGCCTTTTTTTTAACCACAGGCTTGCACTCCTCTGGGCAAATTTTCATCAAAGCCATATTAATTCATCCTTGTAGGACTGTGGTTCTTGTGTGGTGATGGGGATAATGAAACTCCCTGATTCCTTGCTGAAAACTGGCAAACACAGATCATATGCCCCAGCTGCAGCCCTGTGTGTTGGTATGAGCTGCCCTTACCAGCAGACGGCTCAGTAGCTACGGCAGTCCCTCTGCTCTGACCGTAAACTCTTTCCTTACTGTCCTTAGTGGAGGTTCATGTTGGGGTTTTGTCTGTTTGTTGACATGGTTTTGTTCTGTGTGTTGTTGTTTTTGTGTTTTTGAGACAGGGTCTTTCTGAATAACTCTGGCTGGCCTAGAACTCGCTATGTAGATCAGGCTGGCATTAACTCACAGAGATACACCTGCTTCCGCCTCTCCAGTGCTAGGATTTAATGTTTTGAGAAGGGGTCTCACTTTGTATTCTGTATTCTGTGCCAACCTAAAACTCCCTGTGTAGCCCAGGCTGTCCTTAAATTTATGGGCAGGCTTCCTGCTTCAGCCTCCTGAATACCTGTATAGGCATGAGCCTCTATGCCTGGCTAATACTGGTTTTTAAATATCAAAGATCCTCTCTTTAGTTGATGACTTCTGGCTGGTCAGTCCCCTTTGATCCCTGGCTTCTGAGAGCCAGGCCTGTTTCTTGCCAGTCTGTCACCACAGGCAGGATGGGTGCTGGGTCTCAGCGCTCCTGACCCAGCTGCTGAAGCAAGTAAACTCACAGGGTTCTTGTGTCCCCTCAGGTGAGGGTGGGGTTGATGGAGATGGAGATATCACTCGACCAGAGAACATCAATGCATTTCGGAATTTTGTTCTGGATAACACAGATCGCAAGGGTGTCCACTTTCTGATGGCAGATGGGGTAGGTGACTTTCTGTAAAGATTTTTAAGGATGTGTTGTGAAGCTTGCTTTGTTTGCTGTGCTGGGGTTCAGACTCTTGGCCTTGGGCTTAGTAAGTGCTCTGCTGCTGAACACCCCCTCCCCTAGTCCTTGAGAAATGCTTTGGTTTTGTTCTTTAACTGCCCCAGTAAATGGTAACTCACTTCATATAGTAAGGATGCACATGTTTATCTATTTTATATATTTTTTCTACAAGTTTTATAAATATTATACCATTGTGGACATGTTTGCTGAGCTTACTTTGCTAACAAAGCTGAGGGACTGATGGCTCATGGCTCCAGCTGAAATCAACCAGGCAGAAGTGAATGGGAGGTGCCATGCAATCTTGTCATCTTGGCTGTTGCTGCTAGAGGCTGTCTCTCCTGCGCTGACAGATACTTAAGCAGTAGCAGCAGCACAGAATCCATGGAGGCCCTTGGCTGGCTGAAGTGAATTTTCAAGGGTCTACCTGAGCAGTCACTCAGGATGCAGAGAGAACATAATAAAGGTGATCATTTCTGATGTGAGCCACCACTGACTTTGGAGAAAGGACAGACAGTATGCCTTACAGGATCACATAGCTGGGCCTTGTGAGTTCTTTGTGTGTGGAAGGAAGGCAGAGTGTCAGAGGGGCCTGAGGATGATGCACTGGCTCCCGAAGCCTTGTGCCCAGGAGGGATAGAAGATGGACAGGGTTGCAGCTGGCGAGGGGGAAGATACTGCTCCCGTTGAGCAGATGTGTGGGGTCTGCCAGTTTTGCCTCTACTGCAGAGGGACAGCAGGGCTGCAAGCTCAAGGACAGGAGGGCTGTGCTGGCCTTTTGCTTTATTTCTGTTACTTATTTTGGGTTTTCATTGTTGATGGGAATGCGTTAACACAGGATGTTTTCATATAAGTATATATTGCACACTGAACATATTCCTACTCCCCATCCTCCTATCCCTATCTTTTCCTTTCTCCTATTTTAATTTTTTTTTTTTTTTAAGGCAATGTCTCAAATAGCTCAGGCTGGCTGCAGACTTACTCTAAGATCAAATTGGCCTTGACTCCTGATCCTCCAGCCTCTACCTCTCAAGTGCTAGAATTATTGGCAGGTGCCACCATGCCTGTCTCTGTTTTTTAATTCCTTTTTTTTTTTTTAAGATTTATTTATTTATTATTTATACAATGTTCTGTCTGTATGTAGACCTGCATGCCAGAAAAGGGTGCCAGAGCTCGTTATAGATGGTTTTGAACCACCATGTGGTTGCTGGGAATTGAACTCATGATGTCTGGAAGAGCAGCCAGTGCTCTTAACCTCTGAGCCATCTCTCCAGCCCCTGTTTTGAATTCCTAATTAGCTCTATAACAAACATGTATTTTGAGAAGCATCTTTAAGTCTGGGAGACAATGGTAAACATTACTTTTATAGGACTGCATCATGAGATCTGGCCTGTGGGGGCAGCTTAACAGAAGCTGGTGCTCTCCCCTCTACTGTATAATCATAATATGCAGCACAGTTTGTGCTATGTGTACAGCCTAGTAGTGTTGGTCTATTCACTCTGTTGTGTGACTGATTTCCAGAACTTTTTCATTTTGTAAAGCTGAAATGGTACTCTTAAGACCAGTCCTTTTCTCCCACTTCCTGTATCCTTTACTTGGGTATAAGCATGGTTCATGACTGGCAGCTCCTTGATGACGGGAGATGCTCTGGAGATTGCAGCATGCATTCTTGGAGCATGCATTCCTCAGAATGTACCATCTGGAAGGAAGGGGCTCCACAGCTCAGAGCAGAACAGTGGGTACTGTAAGTAAATCCTTGTCTGGAATTCTCTTTCTCAGGCCTAGGGCCTTCAGCAGTCAGTGCAGTGCAGTGGCAGAGCCCAGCAGAATACCTCCTGATGTGTGCTCCTGCTCTTCTTAGCAATTAAATGTTTTCTATCTTGTATTTGACCAGTGATAAGTCAGTACTGTGCCTCTCCTGCCTTACTTGTCCCTGGATTCGGGTGTGAATTTTAAAGTTTTCTGGACCATTTCTTTGGAAAAGCAGACTTGGTCCTGTGGTTTAGGAATGATAAAGCAGGAGGTGGCTCAAATCCAGTAGTAACTCACCATATTACTTTGACAAAGAAATTGAAATGCTCACCAGTCAGATGGTGGCTGTCTGACAGTACCAAGAGCTCCTGGTGAAAATGAGGTAGGAGTATGATTCTCTGTCCTTACCATTTCTCTCTCCCATCCTGTGCTCTCCTTCCAGGGTTTCTCTGTGGAGGGGCAGGAAAACCTGCAGGAGATCCTCAGCAAGCAGCTCCTGCTCTGCCAGTTCCTCATGGCACTGTCTGTTGTCCGGACAGGTGATGCTTCCTCAGTTTTCTCTTCCCCAAGGATCCACTGAGGCCCCATTTGACAGGAGCATGTATAGGGGTTGGTTAAGAAATGGAAGGAAAGAAGGAGAAAGAAACTCTGGTATCAGGTGGCTGGTGGCTAGATGAAGAATACAGGGAAGAAAAGGCAAGAGGATCCCCAAAACACTTTCTGAAGCTGGTTGCCTCATAAATTGTCTTGAACTTGTATGGACCAGTTTCAGTCATCTTTTCTGGCTCAAGTGACCTCCCCCACATCCTGGAGTAGCCCTTGATCGCCCTGAGCATTTTCTTTTCAATACAGGGGGCCACTTCATCTGCAAAACCTTTGACCTCTTCACACCCTTCAGTGTGGGGCTCATCTACCTGTTATACTGCTGCTTTGAGCGTGTGTGTCTCTTCAAACCCATCACCAGCAGGCCTGCCAACTCAGAGCGGTAAGGCCTTCCTCTCTGCCAGCTGGTTGGTCAGAAGTCAGCAGTAAACCCTGTGCTTCTGTCTGGCATGAATTCTCAAACTGTGTTAAAAACCTTGACTTTGGAAATGTGATTCTCCAGAGAGAGCTGGGATCCTTGTCTGAGTGGTCGTCCTCAGGTTGTTTGGACTGCCACCTCCACAGCTGGGTTTACCAAATTTCTGTGTGGGGTTCTCCTGTTAATAGGAAGAGTGTGACTATTAAGAGACACTCGGGAAGTATAGGCTGGGAATAGGCAGGGAGGCCACCATACAGAAGTGCTGCAGGAGGCCAGGTGCCTACACACGAGGTCAGAGAAAAACAAGGCCAATCGGAGTTGTCAGGTAGCCTGTTAAAGTGCAGATTTCTGTGGAGCGTCTACAATTGGCAGCCTCTCCAAGTTGTGTCTTACTGGTGTAGGGCAGTTGAGAACACCCCTACCCCATAAAAGTAGAAACAGTCTCAGATAAGGGATTTAAATATTTTATTTTGAGACAGGGTTTTATAGTAATAGCCCTGACGAGCCCAGAGTTTACTACATAGACTAGACTGGCCTTGAGCTCAAGCGACCTGATTGCCTGTGCCTCCCAAGTGGGATTAAAGGCATTTGCTACCACTTCCTATGAAAAGGAAGGACATGAGGTAGCAGTTTTTGAGGCACACATAGTATGTTGCCCTTTGAGCCCAGGCTTAAGGTTGACTGGAAAGGCTGTTTAGCTTTGTGGCTCTACAGCAGTGGGGTGAAGGGGTATGTGGGGAAAAGGCTCCTGCTCCTTGGACTGACAGAGTGTCTCCTGCAGGTATGTGGTGTGCAAAGGTCTGAAGGTGGGCATAGAGGACGTGCGGGACTACCTCTTCTCTGTGAATATTAAACTCAACCAGCTTCGGAACACCGAGTCTGATGTCAACCTGGTAGTTCCCTTGATGGTCATCAAAGGAGACCATGAATTTAATGACTACATGATACGGTCTAATGAGAGGTAAGCTGACTGACTGCCTGTGTCTGCTGGTGTTGATGGGTTACTAAGGAAGCCTAGAGGATGAAGGACCTCCTGGCTCTTGAACATTTTGTCATCTGTGTTTGCTCTGTTGGTTCTGGACATTCTAGGACTTCAGGCTACTTTTTGGTTACCCTGATCTATTTTTTTTTTTTTTTAAAGATTTATTTGTTATGTACAGAGTGTTCTGTCTGCATGTACCCATGCCAGAAGAGGGCATCAGATTTCATTATAGATGGTTGTGAGTGACCATGTGGTTGCTGGGAATTGAACTCATAGCCTCTGGAAGAGCAGCCAGTGCTCTTAACCTCTGAGCCACCTCTCCAGCCCAGCCCTGATCTATTAAGCATGTCCTGTCCCAGAAATGGCAGGTGGGTCCCTGGCTCTATAGCCCTGCCCACAGGAACCAGAGACTGATGGTAGGAGAGGCTGTGGGCTGGAGTTACAGGCTGTGAGCCACTTCATGGGTGCTGGGAGCCGAGCCTGGGTCTCTGCAAAAGCAGTGTGGTTTTGTTTTGTTTCCAGACAAGGTCAGCCCAGGTTGGCCTCTAACTCAGAGATTTGCCTGCCTCTGCCTTCCAAGTGTTCAGTTAAAGCTTGTGCCACTCCCAGTCGCTGCAGTGTGCATTCTTTCTCTTTTTAAGATTTATTTATTTACTATGTATACAGTGTTCTGCCTGCATGTACACCTGCACACCAGAAGAGGGCACGAGATCTCATTATAGGTGGTTGTGAGCCACCATGTACTTGCTGGGAATTGAACTCAGGACCTCCGGAAGAGCACCCAGTGCTCTTAACCTCTGAGCCCCCAAGTGTGCATTCTTAACTGCTGAGCCATGTCTCTGGTCATTTCTCCTTTTCAGACGTTTTTTGAAGTGTTTTTTTTTTTTTTTTTTTTTGAGTTAAAGGGCTGTGTTTGTGTTTTAGACATTAATCTCTTATTAGGCTTGGATGTGAGTATTGTCTTCTGCTCTGTATTTTCACTGTATTATGTCCTTGAAACAGAAGTTTTTAACACCAGTGTGGCCTGCTTTTTCATTTCTCTTACTGCACCTGTGGTTGTGAGGCTTCCTATCTGTCTTCTTGTCAGATAGTATAAGTTTAGCCCACGTGTTGAAGTACTCTATTTTAAATTATTTTTTGGATATGGCAGTAACTAATGGTCCCGCTTCGTTGTTTTTTTGTTCTTTCAGATTTTCTAAGACCGTCCTTTCTCTATTAAATGGTCTTGGCACACTTTCCAAAAATCGTTTGCTGTTTCATTAGCAATGCTAATAAACAATAGTAAATGAGTATTTATTTCTCGGCTTCCTAACTTGTTCCATTGGCATGTCATCTGTGAAGTGAGATCATTTAATTTCCTTTCCAGGTTAGGTATCTCAGATTTTTAAATTTTGATAATAAAATCCAATTAGGCTTTTCTTTTTTCTTCTTTTTCTGGTAAATGATTTGTTTTCTCTCCAAAAAGTCTTAGTTTGCCTGCTCTGTGTAGCCTTGGCTGGGTGGAACTTGTTATTCTCTGCCTCTGTGATCATCTCAAGTGCTAGGATCACAGTGTCTTGTCCTTGGTATTTCCTGACACACTCTTCCAAATGTCTTGCTTTCTTCCTGTGAAAACCAAGTTCCTACTTACAATTATTCCATTTCAGCCTACACACTTTAAAGAGACAATCTCTTCAGCTTTTGTCTAAAAATACATTTTTAGTCAGGCATAGTGGTATATGCCTTTAATCCCACTCAGGAAGTAGAGGCAAGAGGAGCTCTGATTTCTAGGACAAACAGAGCTACATAATGAGGCCCTGTCCCAAGAAAACAACGTATAAAATAAATACACAAAAAGCATGGTTTTTTGTTTTTTTTTTAAGGAACTTTTTAATTGCATATGGAATTTTCCTTTTACCACGTTAAAGATGTTAATCCACATTTCTCACTTCCCTTTCTTCTGATGTGAAGCACCGTTCGGTTTTTAAAATGTTTTCCTTTCCCATTTTGTTTCTTTGCGTCTGTGCACATGAGTGGCATTTCCCACAGAAGCCAGGGGCATATAGGTGGTTGTGAGCCAATTGGTGTGGATGCTTTTAACCACCGAGCCACTTGCAGCTCCCATTATTAGCTTCGTCATTATTTTCTTGTTTATCGTGTGTCTTCCTCTGGTTGTTTTCAAGCGGGCAGGAGTTGCTATCGGGTGGCTTCCTTAGTTGCTCTTCACCTTATGTATGGAGGTAGGGTCTCTCACTTGAACCTAGAGCTCACCAACTCACCCAGTCTAGCTAGCCAGCTTGCTCCAGGAATCCTGTCTCCACCTCCCACGTTTTGAGATTACAGGTGAGTTGCCAGCGCTTGCCCAGCAATTATTTGGTTACTGAGGATCTGAACTCTGGTCCCAAATGCTTGTGGAGCCATCTCCCCAGCCCCCTTGATAGTCTTTTATTAAGTGCCAGACACCGTGTGAAAAGCTAAAGAAAGCACAGTTGTCAGTGTAACTGCCTTGTCAGTGCTGTCTGCCGTTGGACTGGGAATAGGCTTTGCTGTTGTTTAGTTGGCTCTTGAAGGGTGGGATAAGAACCTTTTCAGAAACACCTGTAGTTGGAGTGCCTGGTCTGCGTTGGGCTCAGCTGTGCTCTGCTCTCAGTCTCTAGCTGCTGGGTGGGCGGCACTTAATTCACCAGTAATTCCTCACATGCAGACGGCCTCTGTTCTGGCTACATTTCTATGCCAATGTGGTGTTGTTTCTTTTCTCCTAGCTACTGCAGTCTGCAAATCAAAGCTCTGGCCAAAATCCATGCCTTTGTACAAGACACGTGAGTACTGTCCATTTTCCACCAATTTCAAGGAAGCCCTTGCTTTGTTCTTTCCACCAACTTGTTTCTCTTTTCTCTTCTTTTTCTTTTCTTTTTTAGTTTTTTTGAGACACAGTTTCTCTGTGTAGCCCTGGCTGTCCTCCTACTCAGAGACCTGTCTGCCTCTGCAACCGAGTATTAAGGTGTATGTTACCACTGCTTGGTGGCATTCAACTCTGTTTCTTTAACGGTGACTTCAAAGCTACTCTGACGGGTTCATGAGAGTGGGATATTAGCAGAGTGACATCTTTGAGAACAGAAGAGATACCAGAATGTGCTGGTGGGTGGAGGGAAGGCTGTACTGGGAATGCTGGCATCCAGGTGGTGTGGATGCAGGTGGTGGGAAGGGATGCGATTTTGGTCTGTAAATGCTGAGCTGTCTGTAGAGGCCAGTCCTGATGCCCACTCAGATGGTCGTTGTTGCAGCTGTACCTCTAAGCAGTTAGGGAGGTCAGATAGGCCCCTGGAGGTCTCATCTTGTGCTGGCTTTGTTTCCCCAGGACCCTGAGTGAACCTAGGCAGGCAGAGATCCGGAAAGAATGCCTCCGACTGTGGGAGGTAAGCAGCCCACTGTCACCCCAGGCCAGGAAGCCATAGTTGAGAACAGGATTGTCACTTCAACTCCCCATCCCCCAACCTGAAAGGGTGCTCAGCTCCTTGGTATGTTGCAAGTTAACTTCTGGACCCCCTGACAACTTGGCCTGAAGCTGGGTTAAAAGCACACATGTTCTGGGTAGGCTGTATTTTGCCCAGATGGCTCTATGTAGTAATACACATAGGGGAAAGGATTTGGCTTTGGGTTGTATCAACGTAAGTGACTTCACAGGGAGTGAATGTTGCACCTGCAGCTCCCTTGCTGGCCTGTTTGCTTGCATGCCACTTCTCCTTACACAGTGTGTCAACAGGGCACTTAAAAACCGAAGCTGGAGCTGGAGCTCAGCAGCTAAGAGCACTAGCTAGCTGCTCCTCCACGGGACCCAAGTTTGGTTTGCAGCATCCACATGGTAGTTCTCAAATGCCTAACTCCAGTTCCAGGAACACGCACATGTAGTACACAGAGATACAGATGTAAAACATATCCACACACTTAAAAAGCCCTTTGCTGTCTACTTTCAGATCCCAGACCGGGCTCGAGTGGCGCCTTCTTCTTCAGACCCCAAATTCAAATTTTTTGAGCTAATCAAGGTAAATCTGGCTTCTGTGGCAACCTATTAGAGGGCTTTTTCTAGGGGCAGAAGATGTCAACCTGGCTTCCATAAGATTGAGAAGGCATCAACCTGGAAGCTAAAGTAGTGGACTAGTCTCCACACGCAAGCTGTATTATATAGGGTTTCCCAAGATCACTTCAGGCCAGCAAGAATCTCCTTTTTTGAGATTGAGATGGGCTTGGGCCAGCATTCTGCCAAAGAGCATGCTGGCTGCCGGGGGTTGGCAGGGTGGCCTGAGAGGAGATGAGGAGTCAGGCACAGTGGTCAGGAGAACCTTGCAGCTCTGACCGACCAGCAGGCAGATTGTTTACTTATACAGGTTTCACAGAACAAAGGCAGACTAATGATTACCCAAGAAGTACAGACTTTTATCATTTTTGTCTCCAGACATATGTTTTTTTTTTTTTTGTTTTTTTTTTATATTATGTGTCCAGGGTTACAAGCTTAGTCACAATTAGAACATACAAATTGAACGTATTTTATTTTTACTATCAACCCTTTAACTCCAATTCAGAGAATCTAAAGAATGTCTCTGCCAAAGCAAACACATTTATCATATGACAATCTGCTTTTATCCTGGCAGTATTTGTAATTTTAAAGCACTCCAGACAAACAAAATATCTGAACTGGTCTTTTTATAAATAGCAAATACTAATTCCTAAATCCATATCCTTTCATCATCTATGCTTTTAAGCAGGAAAGGTTATTTTAGTCAATCTACCATATTTAATGAGCTCTACTCCTCCAGGGGTATACCCTGTCCAAATCTCCTGTCTTTAACCTACATTTTCAGAGAGCTCAGCATATTGTAAAAGAGCCTTGACTGTTACCAGTTCTCCTGCCGTTCAGAGTTTGTCAGCTAGCTCTAGTCTAGCTTTCCCCTGTTCCAGTTACACTGTTTGAGTTTACTTTTCCTAGCATTTCAGTGCTTATCTTTTCTTATCACAAGCTCTAGTGATTTAAGGAAGACTTCCAAATAGGACCAGATAAGGTTATTTCCCTAAAAGCAGAAGTAAGGGTAGAAAGTTCAGGGTTTTCCTAAAAAGACTCAGATATAATTTTCTCTGGAAAAGACATAAAAATGCACAAATTCCCCATTAATGCAACACACAGAGACCAAAAAACTACAAGTGAGAGACAGAATGATAGGGATTGCAGCATTTGTCTAAGGTTTGCTGGAACTTCATGACTTTTACTGTTTCCAGTGACTATGGCTGCGCCACCTGGCCATAAGGTTCTTTAAAGTTCAGGGTCATATGGGATTTGTCTGCAGGAGTGAGAGGGATTGAGGGATGATCTTAGGCAGGGGAACTGCAAAGGAGCCACAGTGGGTCTGGCCTGAACCTAGCTTCTCTATCCTGTTTCTAACAAGCTAGCCTTCAGTTTTTCTGCCATCAATCTCCTAGCTTTTCCCATGGTATCACTTCTGTCTGGCCTAGTTGTGGTCATAGTGCTGGTTTTGTGAGGATCTAAAGACTAAAGAATGAACTTCAAAACATTCACATTTTTCTGAATGTTTCTTTGCTCTCAGGCCAACTGCTGGAGAATCCTTGCTTTTGCTGTCACTGAATGCATGACTGCTTTATTCTGGTGACATTCCCTGTAGCTCTGGTAATCCCATCTGTTCTGTGGATTCTTTCCTTTCCTGATAGATCCTAAGGAAAAGTGCAGGTGATTGGAAATAGTATCTATTTAGTGATTGGTTCGGTAGAGAAGAGTGCGCAGGGGAGCCTACTCCTGAGAGCAAGTGCTGCTTTCTCCTCCAGCCTAGCAGCATTTTCTTTGATCCATCCCACAGGACACTGACATCAATATCTTCAGCTACAAGCCCACGCTGCTCACTGCCAAAACCCTGGAGAAGATCCGTCCTGTGTTGGAATATCGGTGCATGGTGTCTGGCAGCGAGCAGAAATTCCTCCTGGGCCTGGGGGTAAGTCGGCAGCTGGCCTCCCACTGTCTTGGTGACAGTGTCCTGCCTATAGATGTGGACAGCTTCTGGCCACGCTGTATGTGTTCATTCTGTTGGCACCAAAGAGGACTTCCTTGAAACCTTATTTATTTTCTTGCCTCGAGCTTGCCAAGTGTGATTCATTCATTCTTTCATTTCTTCATGTATTTGTTTCTTCCCCACTGCCTAACTCTGCCTTGCTGAAGGGAAGGCTGTTGCTTTTCTAGAGATTCAGAGTCAGTGGCTCATGTGGCTGATCCTGGGTACCCAGTTCTTTGCAATCCCACCCCCTGCCAATTCCTGTTTGGAAGACACTCATCTTCCTCCTCTGGGCAGAGAGAGGGTGGGCCTGTTAGCTTTACATCTTACTAGCAGCCTTTGCTTTCTCCTACCCTGCATCTTTCCAGGTAGCTGATCTTCCCTAATTACTTCTGTGTCCATACTTTGCATTTTTCTCCTTTTGTTTTCTCTTATTCCTGTAATCCCAGTCTTTGCATGTACATCAAACCTGAAGGTCTTTTGCACTTTCCTACCAGAAAGATGGAGCCCATCTCTACCTCTGTGGAGGCTGAAGAGAAAAGTGCCACAAAATCTGTTTCTCCTATTTTCTACTGATGTTGGCCCGCCTTTGTCTGCTTGTAGCTGCCAAGTAAAAAAGGTCTGTTGAGTACAGAGCCTCCCGTTTTTCATTCTCCATGCCTACCATTCTCCCTGCCTGCAGAAGTCCCAGATTTACACGTGGGATGGCCGCCAATCTGACCGCTGGGTGAAGCTGGACCTGAAGACAGAGCTGCCCCGGGACACACTGCTCTGTGTGGAAATTGTGCATGAGCTTAAAGGAGAGGTCAGAAGGGTTTCTGTTCACAGATGGCTCTGGGGTAAGGGGGTTGGGCGTCCTGTGAAGACTGACCTTACACCTTAGTTTGATTTCATGGTATAACAGAATAATTCCCTCTAAAGCAGTTGCCTTGCACTGTGGAAGGTCCTGGGAAGGGGCAGACTCTCCTGATGATCCTGCTAGGTGTTTTCAGTAGCCAGTTTTAGTTCGTAACCAGCAACCCCTTAGGAAAGAACAGACCTGCTTTATTCTGGGAGCTTTGAGTTATTATAGTATAGGGATGACATTCCAAACACTCAGTGTGAAGAGGCCACACAGGGGCTGGAGAGATGGCTCAGAGGTTAACAGCACTGGCTGTTCTTCCAAAGGTCCTGAGTTCAATTCCCAGCAACCACATGGTGGCTCACCGCCATCTATAATGAGATCTGGTGCCCTCTTCTGGCCTGCTTGCACACATGCAGGCAGAATACTGTATAAATAATAAATGAATCTTTTTAATTGCAGCCAGCCCTGAAGATACCTGATAAAACAGGGTCAGATGAAAGGGGAGGAGGTCCTCCCCTATCAGTGGACTTGGAAAGGGGCAGGGAGGAGACCAGGGAGGGAGTGTGGGGTTGGGGAGGGAATGAGGGAGCGGGATACAGCTGGGACACAGAGTTAACAAAATGTAACTAAAAAGAAAAAAATAATAAAAAAATAATTTAAAAAAAAAAAAAAAGAGGCCACACAGTAGGAACAGTCTCAGTGGTTTGAGGCTCATGAGGGCTCTTGCGCCTAAAGCCTGCTCTCAAGTCCAAGCCAGTCCTTGCTCAAGCATGCAGGGAAGTCAGTGCCAACTTTCCCCAGCTTAGCAGTAGGTGGATGGAGGCTAGCATGCCACATACAGTAGGCAGAGTAGGCCAAAGGCTAGCACCTGCACAACAGACAGCATGGTTATCATTGTAGGGGAAGGCCCAGCGGAAGATCAGTGCAATCCACATCCTTGATGTTCTGGTGCTGAATGGCAGCGATGTTCGAGAGCAGCACTTCAACCAGCGGTATGTCTGGGCCCTAGGGCAGGGAGGGCGGGACTTCTCATATCCACCATAGGCTGGGCCCAGAGACAGGAGGAAAGACAGCATTGAAATTTGCCGAGATGTGGGCCTTGCTTGTCAGATTCTAGCATATTCCATCTCAGCACAGTTTAGATTGTAGAGGTCATTTTTGTATCGATTGAATAAGGGTCGTCTTGTTTGAAGAGGGTTTCTTCTAAAAATCATGGCTAGGCTGACAGAGTGTATGCTGTACAATAGCAGTTAGCACTTGAAGTCCTAGTGGAGATGACTGAACACAGCGGGAAGGCACACTTTAGGAAAACCAACTAATAGCTCGCAAAATTAAAAGCCAGACTCCAGGACAGGTTGGGCCGTCGGGGACAGAGATGCTGCAATTTGGAAGGTTTGTGTAGGTCCAGGTTCTCTCACATGGTGGAAATGCCTTGGTTCAGGTGAGATCCCCTGGCTTGCCTCTAAGGACTCTGTTTGGATTGTAGAATTCTGCTTGCTGAAAAATTTGTGAAAGCAGTTTCCAAGCCCAGTCGACCAGACATGAATCCTATCAGGTGAGCATGGCATTCTTTCAGACTCCGTTGGGGTTGTGGCTTCCTGCTGCTTGCTTCTCCCATCTAGTGTGGGATGGGAGGGTTCAGTGGAAGGGCTGGAGCTAAACTGATCCTTTGTCAGAGGTTTGGGGATGTAGCTCCCTGTCTGCCTGGCAGAGTGAGTTAGTTTCCTAGTTTGCCTGTCCTGAGTTACTCATTCACGCTTGAGCATCCTTAGCTGACTATGGCCTCCAGGTAAGGAAATAACAGGAAATGAGGATTTGATTCTAAAAGGAGGATGGTAAAGGGAGAGGAACGTGCTTGAGAGAATAGTGTCCTTGTCAACAGGAAGTAGGTAGGGCTGGAACTTAAGTTCCAGGCTTGGGGCAGGAGAGGGGATTGATGAAGAGCATTCTACCTTCTCTAGTTCAGAGGCTGTTACAGACAGCACCGGAGGATGAGGTGCTTATTGACCCGTTAGCAGAGTCATTGGTGGTGTTCACCTAACTTAGAATTAAACCCAACATTGAGGATGCATGACAGTGTCAAAGTGAGCTTTGCCTGTGCTGTATGATGTCCTGCCTGCTGGTTTCAACAGGCAAGTTTGGGCCCTCCAGATGTGGAGTGCTGAGCCTCAAACAAGTGTCTTACACCCTATATAGGGTCTGTGCCTTCAAGAATAACAGAACTACCAGAATAATTTAGCTTTAGTTAGACCTAAAGTCTATGTATAGAGCCAGGCAAGACCCTTTGGACGTCTGGCCTGTAGTGCCAGTGAAGGCTGAGGATAGGATGCTGTTAGAGAAATTTGCCTGCTATATCTGTCCTCTTTTCCCCCTCTTGTCTTCAAGACTTAGTGCTAAATGCCAGCTGCTAGTACAGGCCCAAGGGGCTATGTCATAGCTCTGAAACCTAGACAGGCTATAGGAAGCAGTGCCACAGGATCAGCGGCCTCAGTTTTTATGGGCTGATGGCTGCAGGGAGGGCCGGAGGATAAGGGCAGTCAGTCTAGGGCCTCCCTGGAAGCTCTGTCATCTGCTCTGTTCATAGGGTGAAGGAGGTATACAGGCTGGAAGAGATGGAGAAGATTTTTGTCAGGTGAGTAACTCGCCCATTTGCTTCAGATTGGTGGGGTAAGGTGCACGGCTCAGTCAAGAGTCATTCTGTCTGCAGTGTGGGTTATGGAGCTGGGTCCTGGCACTACCTCACCCTCCCTCCCTTGCCCTGCTGCAGTTCAGAGTCCCAGCTATGAGCTAGCTCAGCACCTGTCAGGAGGGAACCAAGGGTGACTTTCTATCAGGCAGAAATAGGGGTATCATCGATACTGCCATAGTTAGGATACTGCCATAGTTGTCCTTGCAAGGGGCAGAAAAGCAGGCTGCCTGGAACACTAAACCCCAACTCACAGATTGAGCCTGTAGCTTTAAATACATTCAGTGTGCCACACTCAGCAGGTGAAGGTGAGTCCCTGAGAGCTCCAGTGGCCATCTGAAGACCAAGCATCATCCCTGGCCTCTAACTCCCCCTGTCTGAGCAAGACCTCTGCACCCCACTGCTTGGTTGAGAGTGCAGAGCCTGTGTTCCTAACTCATTAGGCAGAGCCACTAGCTTGGTATGGCTTGGAGGATTTGTGCTTTGGTTTCGCCTGCCAAACCAGGAGAGAATACTGGGATTAGTATCACTTTGAATTACCTAGAGACTAACAGTAGCACGCTCAACTCTGTCCCCGTGCCTGTGCTTCCCGGATGGTCATGCTTGGGGACCAGGTTAGAGATGAAGCTCATCAAGGGCTCTGGAGGCACCCCGAAGCTCAGCTACACAGGGCGGGACGACCGGCACTTCGTGCCCACAGGCCTCTACATTGTCAGGACTGTGACCGGTAGGTGCAAGATTCCCTGCCTAGTAACCCTTTCCCCAGCAAGGGTTACTAGCCCAGACTTTGTTGTTGGGGTGGACAGCAGTCAGCTGGCAACTTCTGAGGAACCTGTAGGGAATACTACACCCCCCAGACTGGACCTGTTCTGGTCTTTGGCTTGGGGCAGGGAGAGATGAAATTGTAGATGCCCACGTGGTGTTCTCAGCAGGTAAGCATGGCTTCTCCACTACGTACCCCATAGGTTGGCTATGTCACTGTTGTGGAGGCCAGGACCAGGATAGGCCTTAGGAAAGTTAAATTCTGCCATTCACTTGAGCTGTTTGGGCTTAGCCATGGAAACTGGAAGGGGCAAGCAGGAGAAAGGAAGGGCATACTTGTTGGCCATCCCCATGGGTACTGTCCTAAGTGCCTGCTGCCTTCTCCTTCAGAGCCATGGACCATGGGATTGAGCAAGAGCTCCAAGAAGAAGTTCTTCTACAACAAGAAAACCCACTTATCCACCTTTGACCTCCCTCCAGATTCCATTGCTCCATTTCAGTAAGTAATCCTCCACTGGCCTGAAAGCCCTCACTGCCATGCAGAAGCTGCCCCAGGTATGGACCTGGTTCATCCAGAGCCTGGGTAGAGAGCTCACTGGCTAGGTGGCGGTGGGGAACCTGCAAGAAGGTTGGAGGAATTTGCCCCTTATGAGTCAAGCTCCCATTTGTTCTTCCTCAAAACACAGCATGTTGTCAGACTTCTGCTGGACATGGGCTTCGGCAGCAGCCCAGTGGGGCTGAAAACTAGCTGCAGCTTGTCTCTGTAACACTGGGACAGGTGAACTATGAACAGAGTCTAGTTAGATGTCGGTTGTGATGGCAATTCTTGAAGGCATGAGAAGAGCTGGGGCCTTTACTCTTTGGATATCAGAAGGGCAACTCTTGACTTGAGTCCTTGACAGAACCCAGTTTATTAAAAGCACCCATCCTTGAAGTCACAGTTGCCAGAGATGGAGTAGTGGTCTCCTGGTCCAGCACCACCTGGGTACAGCACTGAATGCCTCTCCCCCACCCCTCACAGTACCTGCTACTATGGCCGCCTCTTCTGGGAATGGGGAGATGGCTTCCATATGCGTGACTCCCAGAAGCCCCAAGATCCAGACAAGCTGTATAAGGAGGACGTCCTTTCTTTCATCCAGACTCACAATCCTGGAGGCCCTTAGGATTTCCACCTGATGGATGCCCTGCGTCTGGTTCTGCCTCTTGGAAAGAGCCTGGGAATGTTTTCCCTGGTCATGGGGGAGATGGGCTCTTCTCCATTCCCAAGGGTCACAATCCAGGTCTTTTAGAGGACACATCCTTGAGAAACTGTGCTGCCTGAGAACTGACACCACCAGGAGTCAGCCTTGAAAGCAGCTGCTGGGGGTGGGTCAGTGCTTGCCAGAGTGGCAGGCTTTGGAATTTGTAGACTCAGTTTTCTGAGTTCACTTACTGCCCCATAGAGCAGTCAGCTCCCTGTTTTGCCCACTTTCACTAGGCCAGCCAAGTGCAGAGGCCAGGAGCAGCTATTGTACCAATCAAAGTTTTGTTTCATGTGGTCTTTTCCCCACTCCCATCCTGGAGTTCATCCCAGCAGCCAGGGAAGGATTTGGGCCCAGCTTCCTGCAAATGTCAGTCTTGGGTACCAGGTGTGACTGTCCCTTGATGTTCTAAACAGTGGGCAGCTCAAGGGGGCAGGGGCAGCCTGGAGGACCTGCCTTTTCCTCTTCCTCTCTAAGCGTTAATGGAAGGTACCCCAATGGGTGTGGCACCAGCCAGCCCTCTGGCAGTTCAGGCCACCTGAAGCTCTTAGAGTCCTGAGCTAGTGGTGGCTCAGGTGCCCCTTCCTCTTCACTAGGAGGTACATATTTTGGTTTGTCCATACTCGGTCATTCCATTTCTGTAAGAGGGAGGAAGGGCAGCAGCTTTGGGTAGGGTGCCTGTGGTGGTTTTTTTTAACGGGAAGCACCTCTCAAGATGTCATGTGGGCTCCTCAGGGGCCCCAAGCCAGTGCCAGCCTGGTTTCCATGGAGATAGGGCACTGAAGCACCTGTGAGGTTGGAATTGACTCCACCATGGGAGGTCCCTTCTACCACCCCCCACCCCTAACCCAGCAGCCACAGTGCTAGGACGCCATATTTCCGCCTAGTCCTGGGTCTATCAGTGTGTCTTGCAGAATCTTGATCATTAAACATATTTTTACTGCTCATGTGGCTCTGTGCTGACGGCTGTTGTCCACAGTTGGATGTGACTGTAAGAGGAAAGGGAGGGTTTGTGAAACCCAAGCCTCCAAATCCCGAGGCTGCTGCATGACAGACTGGGGGCCCAAAGGCACCAAGGGATTGGAGAATGAATGAGCCCACAACCCTAGGAGAGTGGGGAAGCACCTTCACTCTATTGCATAAACCATACAGCTCACTCCAGGGTGGCACTGTGACAATTCAGGATCAGTCTGTGACTAAAATAACAGAGGTATCAGACTAATTAGTGTCACTAGACAAGGGACAAGAAAAACAATGTTTTGCTGACCCTGGCTAGCCTCCTTCCACCAGAGGCCAGTGTTGTGTGCTGAGATTGCTCACCGAGTCTCCGTAAGGTCCAGGTGAGAATTCCTTCACCTGACTGTCATACTTTGGAGGGCTGCCTCCAGCTGATCCACCCTCGTGTTTCACAGCCTCTCAATGTCCAGGGCCTCAGCACCCCGTGCTTCCTGCTGCACGTGCAGCAATCATCTTTCCTCCATCGTGACCCTCTGCCGTGAGTGGAGTCGCAGTGGTATCTGTTAGCTGCTCTTGCTTGGTCTCCTTCTGATCAGCCCTACTTGTTCACTGGCCGCTGCCACCATAAGTCAGTCTGATCATTACCTTAGCTCCTGCTGCCCACCAGCTCACGGAGGCCTCCTGAGCCCTTCTTGTCTCTGGAAGATGAGTTCATTCCATATACCCCTGGAATCTCCACTTCAAGCCCAAGTGACCTTTTACCATGCATGCTGTATTTTCCTGCCCAGGGCAGAGTTTGGAGACACAGGCAGCAGAGTGCGTACCTTTCCAGCTGCACTTCTCCCTCCCTCCTGAATTATGCACAAGAATTTCGAAACATCCCTTCATCTTTGATACAGGAGTGCTTCCCCTGCTAACCCTCAGTCAGCGGACGTTCACTTACTAGAAGCAGAGCCTGGGGCTCTTTATTGCCCCTCTACTGCGCAGTTGGAAAAGGTAGTAGCATGCCCTTTTGCTACAGCTCCTGGACAACCACAGGGGAAACGGCCCCCACCTCCACCTTGAGCTTGAAAAGCTGCTTGTTCCCTGAATAAGGAGTGGAAGGGAGCCTGCATGGCTGAGGATGGCTGACTCACATAGTCCAGTGGGCATAGAGCAGGGCCAGGAGTATGAAGATGGCCACCGAGAGAAGCATGTTTTTCCGATTCTCTTGCCGAAGCAGCTTTAGCTCCTTCTCTGAGAGGAAAAAGACGAGAACGACCTTGAGGCCCACCTAACTGCTTCTCCTTCCAGCCACTTTCTTACACCAAAACCTGGCTCTGTCCTTGATCTCCCCAGACCCTCGTAATCCTTCAGCCAGATTTAGACCTAAGAGCAGGCCTGACTTGCTCAAACATTTCTGTGAGTACAGTAGGGCATGTGTGAGACCACCAAAAGGACCATCACCAGGCCCATCCTCTCGCCCGTCTCAGGATGGGCTCTGCAGTGCTCAGCCTTCAGGAGCATCGTCAGGCCAACTGGGGCCTCCTTGGGCTCACACAGGTCCTGAAGTCCTGCTGCCTAACAGTGCACTGGAAGGCTTCCTGACATTCTTCAGCTGCGTTCACATCCAGTCACCACTTGTGCAGAGTTTCTTCTCTGCAAAGATCAAACTGATGTCCTGGCTGCCACCATACCCAGGGAACAGACTAGGAGAACTGCCAGCCAACTCTGGGCTGAGCAGAGAAGGAATGGGACACAACTGAAGAGCCTCACAGCAGGGGGTGCTGGGCTCTACTTGGCTCTGCTTCCAGCACCCAGAAGGTGGCAGCATTGTTCCACCCACAGAAGCCCTTTCCTGTCTAAGTAGGATCTATCTAACCACCCCACTCCCAGTGGAGGTTGTCCTGGTGGGGCGGGGCATGGGATGCAGGGTCCATTGTCTGTGGATGACGGCCTTCTGGACATGGCCCCAGACAAACCCCAGAGGATACAGAGCCCTTGCTACTGCTTCCTCCTTTGGGCAAAAAACAAACAGAAAACCTTTCCTCCCAGGCAGGTGGCTCCCAGCTGGCAACAGGAAGGAACTTTCTTACCATACTTGGAGGCCTTGCTCATGAGGGTGGTTTTCTCCTTCTCCAGAGACCTCCTGTGGGGAAGGAGTTTACAGCTTAGACCCTTTTCCCTGTCTTAACTTAAGAGGGGCAGTAGATTCTTGTCTGAATAAGGGGGTCAAAAGTACGATCTTACGGGACAAGAGTTGAAGCTCAAAGTTAAGGACCCTTTGGCCTTGGCTTTATAGGGGTGTGAATGAACAGAGATTACCTGTCCTCAGGACTCAGCTCCACCCTGTAGAGCTGGGAGGTCACAGCCTCCAGGTCTTTCCGACACTGAGATAGCTTCTCCTCTAGCCCATCAATCTGAAAGAGACAAAGGCACAGAGATCCACAGCATTTTCAACACCGGCGCCTCAGAGGGGCTCACGTCCAAGTCCCACCCTGCTGGCCCACGCCACGTTTGTGCTGTTGACAGGCTAAGACCTGGGAAACAAGAAGTGGGTGTTGCCTGCTTCTGACCCTCTGAACCAGGCACAGGGTGGGGATGAAAAGGCAGAACTCCAGGTTAGCTATGTCTCACAAGGAAGGTCCCCAGTTGTTTCCACTAGAGTGTGGCACCCCACAGAACCTGCCCCACGGCAGACTCAAGAAGGAAACAAGCACTGCAGAGACAGTGCAAGGTCCCACATGGGAGGGGAGGGGTTAAATGTCAGGGGGCTAAAAAAGTAGGGGTGTTTTCCTAGTAGATACGATTCAGTGCAGTCTGTGTTGTCATGATAGGCATTTTTCTGAGAATCAATAAAAATTGGCGAAACAATGCAACTTAAAACCACTTCTATTTCTTTCTGATGTGGCTCTTAGGCAGAAATGTTGCCTGTCACCAAGCTCAGCATAACTCGATGGCAATGGAGCTAAGCTCCTGAAAGGAAGGCTGCCAGACATATCTTCTTCCATTTGCTCTGCCATTTCAGAGATGTGATCTTAAAGAAAAGACCTTAAAAGATCTTAAAGAAAAGTTGTGGGAAATGGTTTGTAAAATGCTGGGCAGGGCTGTGTCCCAATATCGTACGTCTGGCATCGAACACAGTTTGCCTAGCCTTACTACTCTCTGGGTGTCTAAGTGGCCACCTCTCTGCTTCTAAGCTGGCCGGCTCGTGCCTCACTTTTGGTGGCTAGTTGTATTGAGGGCTCCTTGGAACCCTGTAAAAGTCTTTTTTTTTTTTTTCCATCTCTGACTTTATCTGCCCTTAACAAATCCCCAGGAGAGACAGCAAATGGAAGAAAGGGGTTCCTTAGATGGAATGGTTTCTCTGAGGAGTCACAGGTGTACCCCCCCTTCTGTCAGCTTCAGCTCCAGTTCTCACTGTAGCGACCCTGGAAAAATCTTGCCTCCTCAACAGGCTGGGAATCAGGAAAATAAGTCCCTGGGCTTCTGCCTCCTCTCTGGCCAACAGCCACCACAGACATTCCTAGATCAGCCACTTGGGTGAGTCCAAACAAGAGGTCAATCCTGCAGCTGAGTCAGAAGGGCTCCACAGGAGGGAATAACCTCCAGAGCCCGAGGTTACTGCATGGTTCACGGTACCATTTCTCTGCCAGTGGGTACCAGGCTCGGACAGCAGATTGGGCAGTCCCCAGAGAAGTCACAAGCCTCCTTGGAACTGCACTGTGGGGAGGTGAACATGGAAAGCCAGGCCTGGGAACAACAATCTCTTATGGGTACTTGTGACCACCATGTGGTGTGCCCTTTGAAAATGCCAGAGGCCGTGATGGGGCCTAAAGCTTACTCATGCAGCTGAACCTCCTGGCCTGGCTAGAGGGCACCATTCTGCTTCACCTAGAGTGAGTCCTTTCTACATACCCTCCAGTTAAGATTTTATCTGCCCAGACTAGAAGCTCACAGACTGGCCAGTTCTACTTGTGCCTGTGACCTGCCTGCCCTAAGAATGCCCGAGTCTGCAGCTCCTTAGGCCACCTGCCATCTGTGTCCAAAAGGCCTGGTCTGTGGCCTTCCTACTTGTGGCCAGAGTGAGTGGCAGCTGAGTGTGGATGCACTGAGGAATAGGCAGGAGTTTGTACAGCTGACTTCTGAAACCCTTGGGCGCACTACAAGAAAGCAGCTGTGCTTGCACACAGCTGATGCAGCTTATTCCGGATGTCCAGTCCAGGTTCAGTTTTCCCTGTTGCTTTGGGCAGGGCCCAGGGTTGCAGGCCATTCTGGAAGGGATCAGGTTGAGGATTTCCATTCCTGAATGCCTCTGGAAGGTGACCAGGTGCCCAAACAAGTGGTAATTGCCCCGGAGCAAGGCCAGGAGCTCTTGCTGAGCAGTCTTATAGCTGAGGCTGTGGCCAAGTGGCTCTGCCACCATGCTCTGGACAGGGCCTGAGGGGCTGGCAGTCAGGGGCCTTTATCTGAACAAGCCCAATTTATTTGCAGTTACACTGAATATCCCCACTTTCATTTGCCACTTTTTAATGAGACTTAAATGGGCGAACACAAATCAAGGTTTTAGGGACTCAGTTCTAACCTCCCTCTATGAATATTTATGTCCTGCTGACTGTTCTGATTCCCTTCTAAACAGCAAGTTCTCTTTACAACTGCCTGATGTGGCCTCAGGGATGGGGGTGGGGAGTGGGGGCTGGGCCTGGAGGAGGTTCTTCAGCAAGCCGCAGACTCATCCTTAGAAGGGGACTAGATACCAGCAACACTTGAAGCAAGGGGCACTGTCAGAAACGGTAATAATGGGACAGACACTCCACAACCAGGCAGGAGGGACAGTCATAATGCTGTTTTTAGATGTGAGTGGGGGCCACAGAGATGGCTGTAGACCAGAGCTGACCCAAGACATGCCAAAAGTGAAAAACCAGAAAACGGACCCTAGAGAAAGCCCTCAGAGTTGGATTAAGCCTTAGGTTCAAATCTGAAGTATTCAATTCACTCTCTCCCTGCCCTCAGACCAAAGGCAGGATGGCAGGAAGCTAGGCCCAGCAGCTATGCACTTTAAGATCAGAATAAGGAGACAAATCTCAGGAAGATTTTAGAAGAGCAGGGTCAGGGCTGGGCAAGCAGTTGGACTGAAAGCTGGAAGCTTAAAAGTGGGGTATATCATATGAAGTGCAGCATAGGGCTCCAGCTGTAACTGGTCAGTTGTCACTTGTGAATGAATGCCAGGATCCTTAAGCCTGCCTGTGCCTCAGGTGACAGACATTTCAGAGCAGTGACAGTAGGTGCCAGTAAGGATGTGCTACAAACAGCACTTCACATAGGTTTAGTACCAGCTACTGTTAGAAGAATGGTACTCACTGGGTCTCTGGCCAGCGTGAGACAGCATGAGCAGTGAGGTTAAGGGTAGCAGGTGGCAGTGGGGACAGCAGGGCCTCCACCATGAGTCAGCCCACCAGCTGGCACAGAACATGGCATGCCGGTAAGCTCTGTAATCTTTTTGGGGTGGTGCTAGGGTAGGTTAACGTGGCAGAGGCCAGGTGTGGGGGAACCAAAAGTGAGAAGGTGGGATTAACAGAGCCCAAGACAGAAAACGCAACTGAGGCCTAAGGAAGCAGCAGTCCTAGGAAGAAATGAGGGCAGCACAGGGAGGCAGTCAAGCTTTAGGTGTTTGAAGCAAAGCTCTAGGGACCTGGCAACCAGGAAGGCTGGGAGTAGGCATGGGTATCCTAGAAACTGTGGCAGAAAGAGGTTCAGTCCAAGAGATGGGAACTTCTCCAGGGGAAAGGGAAGGCTACGGAGCCACTCAGAGCACCTGGCTGGCAGGAGAGTGGCAGCTGGCTACAAGTAACTCAGGTGCTGGCACTTGCCTGGAGCTAAAGGGGCAACATGGCAGAAAGGTGTCCCTGAAAGAGGAAGAAACATCCGTGTGCTATATTTACACCCAGATGAATCTAGGGAACAAGGGGGTATCTAGGGAAGAGGCGCCAGTGGCTGAAGCAGGCTCCCAGTCTTCTGGGAGGACCAAGAACCCCAAGACACAAGGGTGGAGTTGGGAGTTTCTGACATAGTGAACCTCTGAGAGGCTAGGAGGTACCATGTAGACTCCGTGGAGCAGTCTGGACCCAGCAGTGACTGGGCAGTAGCTAAACTGTCTGTGAAGGCAGGGGAGAAGCAGAGGAGGGAAAAACAGCAGGTAAGATGTGAAGAGGAAGGCACAGCCCTGAAGACGGTGGAGCAGCGCAGGTATCCAGGAGCTGGTGCTTAGAGAAGCCTGTGAGGCCTGCACTGCAGTCTGGGTGTGCCAGGACAGCTGGAGGTGGCAGTCAGGGACTCCTCAGGGCTTTCCGCCCCAGCCCATGGCTCTGAGCACTGCTGTCTTCTGAGAGGTGAGGGCTGTAGAGCCCCAGCCCTAGGCCGACTGACAGCCCCTCCCTGACTCAGGAATATAGCCCTACTCTCAGAGCTTTAGGCAAGTCTCCCTGGGGTCCTATGCACCATAAAACCACTGTGTTAAGAGAAACTGTAAAATTCGTCTGAAATCCCCAGGAGGCATCTTTTCAGAGGATGGAGCCTCCAGGAATCAAAGCCCCAAATAGGCTCCTCAGAGGCAAGGAACTTGTGCCACTTGCACAGACAGCTGCCCCTGCACAGGCCAGGTCAGGCCCCACAGGGTGCCAGCTCTAGGCCTGCTGAAGGAGCATGGGCAGCTTTTATTCCTCTGACAAGCAAGAGCCAGCAGGAGCACAGGCTCTTCTGTAGGAGAGTGAAACAATTAAACAAAGCATTCAATAGAGCACCTACACAGCTGGGAGGCAGCAGCTCCTGGCCTAGTCTCAGCCACTGCAGCTACCTGGGGAAAGGGCAGGGGTTCCCCTGGGGCTTGGTTCAGGGCCACATGGCACATGCTAGTTTCTAGGTTGGGAAGAGGTTCCTGTTTCTCCGGGACCTTACTCCTGGGAGCTTCTGGCCAGCAAATAAATGACAGGATGCTGGGAAAGAGCTTGCCTTGGGTAGGGGTGGGAGTGGGGGTCTCAGGCAGGAGTGGCCCACTCCTCTCTGGCCAGGAGCTGGCGGGTTATCAAGGACTTAGATGGCGTCATGTGTCTGCATTGGGGGCATGTCAGGAGCAGCATTGGGAACCAAGAGCCACAAAGTGGATGCAACAGCTGGAACACATCTGCAGCACTGCCCAGCTGCCAGGCTCTGTTCTAGACCCTCCACACAGAGGAGGAGGGCAGACAGCCAGAGTCCACATCTTACAGGAAGGAAGGAGCTTGTCCAGGTGTGTGTCCTAACCCTGCCACGCCACTGTAGAAAGCTGGATCTTGGCCCAGGAGGCACCCCCGCCCTGGGCTGGGCAGCACAGGCAGCTGCAAGCATGCAGTCTGACTTTGCATCCACCTTGCAAAGGGGCTGT